CAAGCTCTCCCTCTTTCTCTCTAGTTTACATCACAGCAACTCTATTTATTTATCTCTCTAAGCTCTAGCTTTATCAGCAGAGGGAGGCAGCAGCCTCACCCATTTGCTAGCTCGGACAGAGTCCCTTGATCTTTTATTCTTCTTAATGGCTCATCACCTGGTAGGATTGCCTCATGAGGAAGTTGTTGTTGTTTAGTTGTTTAGTCGTGTCCGACTCTTCATGACCCCATGGACCAGAGCACGCCAGGCACTCCTGTCTTCCCTGAGGAAGTTAGCCTAGCTTAATTAGCCTTTAACACTTGGCTTAATTAAAGGATTGGAGGTGTCCACCCGGGTCTGGCTATTTCCTGATTTTAATACCCCAAGCCTTAATTAAATTCCAACACCTACTAGACCCAGGAATTTAGGGTGTATAAGCAACCACAAACTCATAACAATACATTATGGATGGGGTTTTTTCAAAAGCAGTGATGGATCAAATGTTGTTTAGTCATAACATCACATTATCTAAGGTTTTCCATCATTGTAATACAGTCTGATGAGCTGCATTTGATAAAAACAGCCATAGTTCAGACTGAATCTCCTTATTTGGTCCATTAAACAAGGATAATAAAAACAGGACAGGCACATAAGCAATTAGCTCCATTGCTATTTTAGAAAGATCATTATAGACTAAGACCCAGAACTGCTGAATATGGGAACAAAATTCTAAAGGTATTGGTTTGGTTTGTTGGTGCAAAAAATGTATATCCAGAATTCTTGAATGCCAAGATCCAAGTTTGGGGCAAGTACTCTTTGGTGTGAGAACCCCAGCAGAGATATAAAGTCACAAAGTAATCAGTGAAGTAATGTAGGCTGTACAGTAAAAGCTTTAAGATATGCCCTTCTAAGTGAGTTCCAAAATGTCCCCTTTAAAGGTTCCTTTCCAAAGTTCCCCTCTTCCCATAGCATAAGAAAAGACCACATTTGGCAAGTTACTTACAAACTTTCCAAAGGTCAGATTCATGTGCTTCAGTATACTTGCACAGGCACTAAAACACATTGCATTAATGTAACCTAGATTAGGCTATACCTGTCCAGATAGAGCCAAAGCTGGGCCACCAGCCAAAGGTGATGGAATGGAAGGCACTCCACACCACTGTGAGGCAGCATAACTCTGTCAAGAGGAGGCAACCTACCAGCCATCCGGTCTAGGGAACTGCCCACTAACAGTGCCTCAGTTGTGCTTGTTTATAAGCTCTCATCCAGTCCATTATTGAGGCAAGACAATGGTCCACCTGCAGATGTAAAGCAGAACTGAGAGTTATCAGTGACAATGTAATCTAAAACGCTAGATAACCCCACTCAGCAGTTTCGTGTAGGTGTTATACCAGGGATTAGCAAACTTTTTCAGCACGGGGCTGGTCCACTGTCCCTCAGACCTTGTGGGGAGCCAGACTATATTCTGGGGGAGAAAAATATGAACGAATTCCTATGCCCCACAAATAACCCAGAGATGCATTTTAAATAAAAGGACACATTCTACTCATGTAAAAACACGCTGATTCCCAGACCGTCCACAGGGCTTAGTTTGCCAACCCATATGTTAAACAGCAAAGGGGATGAAATTGAACACCGAGGAACCCCACACTGAAGGCTCCATGGGGCCAAAGAACACCCTCCCTTCAAGCATCTCTGGAAGTGACCATCCAAGTAGGATTGGAACCACTGCAAAGCAGTGCCACTCACCTACAACTGGATACCATGGTCCATGGTATTGAAGGATGCTGAGAGATCAAGGAAAATTAAAAGGGATAAATTTTCCTGCCTCTCTTCCAACAAAGGTAATCATACAGCCATAATTCATGCCTACTGCGCTCTTTTCGCCACCTGCTAAAAACATTCTTATTTAGGCAAGCCTATCCAGCTGTTTAGGAATTTGAGGTCATTTTATGGTGTGTGTGTTTTTAAATGGTATTTATTGAAAAAGGGATTTTCTACAAAATTTTATACAAAAGGAAAAAAATAAAAATAAAAATAAAAAATAAAAAATAAAACCATCATTCTCAAATTCTCCGCTTTCAATACCTTCTTTCCTTGACCTCCTCCTCCTCCTCCCTTTTCCTGTATCCTATTTTATAATAATCACAGCAAATCCTTTCCATAATTCATAATATTCTGTCATCACATTACCTTAATCTGTTTTCATCTTATCTTATAAAAAAACCTTAGAGTTTAAAACTTAAGTCTTAATTTTTTATCAACTTCTCCTTAACCATAGCATTCTTGCCTAATTCTTTTAACATTTTTATAAGAGCCAAATAATTTCATTTCAGCATTTTGCTAACATTCATCCATTTTGTAAAATAGTCCTAATGATAAAAATAAAAAGAGAGAATCCAGTCTTCATCCAACGTCCTTTTCTCCTGGTCCCGGGTTTGTCAGTCCTTTTTATCCTATTCATCTAGCACATTAACCTGGCAGTCTTATGTCCGAGGCCCTTAAGTCACTTCCATGTTCCTTCCATAGCTCTTCTTTATATTTCCTTTTTATTCGTGGGAACTCCAGCTTGGTAGTGTTTTTGACCTTTTTCAACAAAACAGTCCCTTTTCCATAGTCCAATCCAGGCTCAATGTAAAATTTACAAGCATATTCCAGATTCCCTTCAAAGTTAGGAGCCCCCACAACTCCAGACATCTGATGGCCCCTTTCCAGACTTGAAAAGACCAAATCTCCCTGTAGATAGGGGTCTATCCAGCCCCCCATTTCCAAACCGAACCAAATTTTATCTTTCCAAGTCTGATTTTTTCCAAGTTCCTTTGTCAAGTCCAAAAATTTGTAATCCTGCTGGGCCGCAGCTCCCTCCGTCTCTGGCGCCCAAGATTCAGCAAAATCCTCTTCTCTCAGTTGTTCTGTCATGGCACGCTCCTGTTTTGATTCCTGAGTGGGCTCCATATAGTTTCCCACTACCTGCTCAAAGGATCTGGCCGCATTAGTCATGAAATCCATCTTCTGGCTTAACTGATCCAATAGGGTATTTATTTTACAGAAAGCACCCAACAGTGCTTCTGAAGACATTGTTCTGCAAGGTCACCAAGTCCTTTCCCACAGTTGTAATCAGTGACAGCTGCAAGTTCCCAGGAATTCCCGGGAATTAGTTACAATTTCACAATTCCCCTCTAGGGGGAAAAGCTTCTAGTTGTTCCTTCTCTTGAAAACAATAGCAACAAAGTTTCTTTTTTACGATACTTTGTCCATATTTGTTCTTTTAAAAAACGAAAGGAAACAATGGAGCAACTACGTTTCTCTTCTTTAACTATCTGTCAGAAGCATTTGTTTCTGGTCAATGAGCTTCAAACGTCAATTCTGACACCCCGCTCCAGGGTCAGGGCGATGGAAAAATACTTTACTTTAACTTCATTTCTGCAGGTTTAAACAACTCAAAAAGAGTCCCCCTTCTTCTCCTGCTACCGAAGGGGGATTCAGCGATTTTAAATGGTGAAAGTCGATCTTTTACAAGTGGTTTTTTAAGGCTCTAGTTTGCGTTGTCTTTGCTTTGTTCTGGCTACAGGGAAACAGAAGGGTGACTTCCTGTTTGATCCTTTCCGTTTCAGTACCAAATTAGAGTAAATTTTAAGTCCAAATTCCTTTTAATTTCGCCAGTTCTTTATTTGAAGTCCAAATATTCAATGTTCCAGTACTCACGGTTGGTTGATTTAAATGCCAAATTGTCCCAGGAAAAAGGCAGCGCTCTCCGGCGACGGCTATGCGGCTTCGCTCCGCAGAAAAAGCAGTTGACTCACAGCACCGCGCCACTTCCCCCCTTCACGGCGGAGCCCGTTTGTGGGTTCCTTTGTGGGTTGGGGGGGCGCTAAGGGTGCCCGCCGAGTCCCACGGTCACAGGCTTCATCCGCCTGTGATTTCCAGAAGGGTCCCCGCTACGCCGCAGCAGAAAAGACCCATTTCATGCGGAGCTGGTCCCTCCAGTTCAGAGGGAGTCCGCCATCGCCGGTGGCGCCACCCCGGAAGTCTGTCCATTTTGATCTGTTTTACTATTTCAACTTTTGTATGTTTTAAAGTACTGGTGTTACTTTTTCCTTGATTTCCTTGTTTTATATTTTTTGTAAACTGTTTAAACCACAATTATATAATTCTGGACATGGGAACCTCATACTTAATAAAACCTCAAACTTTCCAGGATTCAAACATTTGTTGCTTGCCCTTTGGTCAGGGTACATTAAATCCTCAAGGCACATTCCTTTCAAACTAGGGGTGGGCAGCTTGCATAGCCTTAGGCCTAATTTCAAATACTCTCTGCTAGCCATCAGCTCAGACAGGACAGCGGGGAGGAAGAGGCAGAATAAGAAAGGAGGTGGCAAAGAGAGAGGGAGGGAGAATGGCAGTGGTATAAATAAATTTCTTTTCTGTGAACCACCCTGAGACCTCTGGGTATAGGGTGGTATATAAAATCAATCAATCAATCAATCAATCAATCAATATTTCAGGGGACTAGCTGAAATAAGTATTTGGCTACCAAACTGGGTCCCAATTGGGTCATCTTGAATAAACCATTACTGTATTTTGAGCTGGGTGCTTGTCGCAGGCATTAGGTTCCTCTCTGTTGGTGTTCGTAAGTTGATTGTCCTAAACATTTAAAACATAAAAAGCTAACAAGAATCCTTAGCTGGACTGGAATTATTATTATTATTATTATTATTATTATTAAATGCGTTTTTTAAAATATCATTTGAATGGATTTGGCCGGAGGAAAGGTGAGCTAACAACAATGGGGGGGCAGAGAGAGAGAAAGAAAGAAAGAAAGAAAGAAAGAAAGAAAGAAAGAAAGAAAGAAAGAAAGAAAGAAAGAAAGAAAGAAAGAGAGTGTCCTAGACCTAGACCCTCCGAATCAGAGCACCAGGAGTGGAAGGAGGAACTTATAGCTCCCGGTACAGCAGTGACGCAGACTGCGTTTCCCGCCCGGACTCTCTTAATGGCCTTACCGGGCAGTGCGCGTCACTTCCGTTAGCGCCTGCGCAGTTCTTTCCGGCGGCTCCGTTGCGGCTAGCGCTGCTCAGCCAGGAGGCTTCTTCCTCGCGCGCACCAGCATGGCGACGGATTCCTGGGCTCTGGCGGTGGACGAGCAGGAAGCGGCGGCAGAGTCGGTGAGAAGGCAGGGAGGGGAGAAGCCCGGGTGGGGTGGGGGGAGGGGACCCTTCCTTCTTATTATGGTATTTTTTTCTATTTCCCGTAACTCGCTTTTCCTCTCAGGGCAGCATGTATTGCTCTCCACGCGTTGCTGGTCTCCGTGGTTTACAACAGCCCTGCGAGGTAGGGCAGGTGGCCCAAGGTCACGTGGTGAGCTCCATGGCTGAGGGGTGGGTGTGATGGACCTTGGGCCTCTTTAGTCGTTCTCCCAACGCCCCATAATTATTTAATAATTCATTTATTACATTTATATAATTCGTCACCTTTTCCTCCAAGGAACGAAAGGCCCACTCCACCCCCTACCCCCGTGTTACCCTTGCAATAACTATGAGGTAGGTTAGGTTAAGAGGCAAGCAACTGGCCCAAAGCCACCCAGTGAGCTTCATGGCTGAGTGGGGATTTGAACCCTGGTCTTCCAAGTCCTAGTCCGACACTTCGACCATCACATTTTCTCCCCTCCCCCTTCTAGAGGTTGCTAGAAATGCCATCAACCTTGCCTGTGGTTAGGGATGATCAGAGTTGAAGTTACAGCCATGCAACCCTTTGGGAACACTGTCCTAACCCCCTGCACTTCACTGCTTGTAGGCATGCAATCCAAAGTGAGTGCAATCAAAATGAATGAGCCACCCCCAGGGAGCCTTTTTGGCTGAAAGGTGGCATATAAACAGATAGTAATGTAACTTCCCATGGAGGTGCCTGGAAACAGCCTCAGACTTATGCTGTCTGTTCTTCCATCACATGCATGTTTTGCGTATTAACATCCTGCTTTAACCCAAGTGGCTGAAGGCAGCATGCATAGTTCCCATTTTATCGTCACAACAGCCTTGTGAAGTACTCTTGCTAGTGAGCTTCATGATCAAGATAGCTTCCCCAGTCTTCGTCCTCTGTGGTGCCCTGCAAATGTTGCTGGACTGAAGTTCCAATTATCCTGGACCATTCACCATGCTGGCTGGGGGCTGGTGGGAGTTGCAGTCCAATAGTCTCTGCAAGTCACCATGCCTACTCTAGTTGCTGCACCACACTATCCACAGGCACACAGTCTGAATTGTGCGACGTAGTTAGCGGAAATAGAGGCTGTACTTGTTGCAGTACATTCTTTTAACATTTTATCTGGCATTCCATGCTGCCTTGGTAAAATTCTGCATTTTTGAAAGGTCATGTATTCCTGGGAGGAGCTAATTTCCTTAAAACAGAGGTTTGTGGTTGTATTATTAATGTTGGAAGGGAGGACATATTTTCTGACCCCACTGGAGGAGGGAGGAAGAGAACTGGTTTCCTAAATACTGTACAGAGATTATTTAAACTTTTTAAAAATTCACTGGTATATGGTTTTATAGAAATTGGTATCTGTCTGGATGCTTAAGTGGGCCATGGGCCTTCATGGTGTAAGCAGAGTCCCATAGTGGATGGACATATGATCTGGGCAGATTTGTCCAGGTAATCCAGAAATGGGTGCCAAATACCATGGAAGGAATCTGGCATTTCTTGTCCCATTGGGATATATGTATGTTTAGTGCAATGCCATTATCTGGGATACTTCAGTTGGTAGAACATGAGACTTAATCTCAGGTTTAGAGCCCCATGTGGGGTAAAAGATTCCTGCAATGCAGGAGGTTGAACAAGATGACCCTTGTGGTTCCTTTCCAATTCTATGATTCTATTGGGGGATAGCAGGGAAGTATAATATATCTCCAACCAGTTTTTGTGACACATGAGCTAAAGCTTTAGTGCTATTTCCGTGTTTCCTTTAAAGGAATGTGATACTAAATTCAAGATATGGGGGCAAGAATCTGGTAGTGGAGATAAAGCAGTTGCTTGCAGTCTGTGTTTCTCTCTGTATTTATTAGCCAGTGTTATCTTTTTAAAGTACTTAAAACTTGGGGATTTAAAGAAAAAACCTTTTGGTGGGTAAAGCACTTGAAACTTTCCTTATTTTATGTAACAAAACCCTGCATATCTGTCCCATTCAAACAAATCTGTCATGATACGTGCCCTGTACAGATCTTTATTGTTTAGCCACAGGCAGTGTTAGAAACTGAGATATGAAATCTAGGAGCTAAATGGCACCTTAAATCTAAGTTATGGGTGCAACAACGTCTAGGGACATTTTTAATAACAAGAATACAAAGCTGAAGATGAATGAACTGCAGCTAAAATACTATATTCATTTTTCACATGGTCTAGTCCTCATCTGAAGGACCTAAAAAGAACCCAGCTGGATCTGTTATGGAATCCACTTTTCACAGTGAACATTCAGTAGCCTATGGGAAGCCTATAAGCAGCACATGAGCGCAACTTCACTCTCCCCTCTTGTGATCCACAGGAACTGGTGTTCGGAGCCATACCTCCTGTAATACTGGAGGTAGTACACAGCCATTATGTGTAATAGTCATTTATATCCTTATCTTCCATGAATTTGTCTAATCAGATTCGAAAGCCATCCAAGTTGGTGGTCATCACTACATTCTTCTCCTTTTCCAGCCTCCCCAAGTATTTCCGTCTGTCTTTTCCAGCCGACAATATTCTGTGGGTATGGGCCATGCTTAATCCACATTGCCATGTTCTGGATGTGCTTTTTGACTTTCGCTTCCAACTGTGGAGCCCCTGGTTCAGAATCTTGCATCTGCTACCAGCTCACTCGCTGTCAGTGGGAAAATAGCTTTTGATCAACCTCTGTACCAGTGTTTCTCAAACTTGGGTCTCCAGCTGTTGTTGGACTACAGCTCCCATCATTAGGACCAGAGATGATGGTCAGAGATGATGGAAGTTGTAGTCCAACAACAGCTGGGGACCCAAGTTTGAGAAACAGATTTATACCTTCCCATCTGCAATGTGGGGGACATACTGGTCTGCCTTATGCCAGGCTGGCAGTAAGAATGACTGCAAATGTACAAAGCATAATGATGAAGAAACTGGACCAGCCGTAGCATTTGGGTGACTTGTTCTGTTTTTGTTTTTTTAGATGAGCAACTTGCACCTGAAGGACGAGAAATCCAAGCCAGACTCTAATGGTGAGCATAACCATGACTTACTGGGTTGAGCAAGCCATCAACTACTTTTCCTCTTTCCCCCAAATCTTTCTCTTTTTCTGTTTCTCTATTCCTTTCTTGTTCTTGCTATGCAGCACTCAGAGCAAAAGGCAACCCTGACACTGTTGCTGCAGCTAGAATCGTACAAGGCAGGACAACTCAAGGCACAGGTGGGGGAACTGGATCAGCTGGTGGGCCAGATCCTTACCTCCTTCACCACCACCACCCACCGGCCAACTTTGGCAGGTGTGCAGGGGACCACACCTGTCAGTCGCCTGGTGCCATTATGATGTCAGGTGATGACTTAAAGGGTGCTCGCTCTCTCGCTGGCTGATGGGTGCTGCGAGCAGCCCTCTCAGTCGCACTAGGTCAGCCAACCCCAGTGACATCTTTTGTGCTGGATGTCACCCTTGATGTCATATGTTGGAATGGTGCATATGGTTTGTGGGGGAATCCTCTTGTGGGTCTAATTAGAACCACAGCCGGGATTAAGGCTGCAGGCCAGAGATCCACTGCTGCTGAATCTTAAGGGTATCCAAAGTTGGCTGGGAGGTTACAAAAACAAATCCCTGTTGCTGGCACTTAAACGCAAACAATATTGTGGCATAACCTTTTGGGGACCAGAAGCCACCCTGACAGGTGCACAAAGCAGTCTTCTGAGTTGGCAGGTATTTGTACATATGGGGTTGGTGGGTGGTAAATGTAACTGTAGACCTGAAAGGGCATGAAATACAATTAGTGGCTGCATCAGAAATGAATACAAGGTTCAGTTGGTTTACTTGTGACTTGCTCCCCCCAATAGTTGCAGCTGTTAAATTGGCAAAGCAAGCTGGAGAGTGTGAATATTGAAGTACTTGCCAGTGTGGTGTAGTGGTTAAGAGCGGTAGAGTCATAATCTGGTGAACCGGGTTCGCGTCTCCGCTCCTCCACATGCAGCTGCTGGGTGACCTTGGGCTAGTCACACTTCTCTGAAGTCTCTCAGCCCCACTCACCTCACAGAGTGTTTGTTGTGGGGGAGGAAGGGAAAGGAGAATGTTAGCAGCTTTGAGTCTCCTTCGGGTAGTGATAAAGCGGGATATCAAATCCAAACTCTTCTTCTTCTTCTTCCTTTAGCAAGAGACTGATTCCCAAGTCTCTGCTCTGTCCCACAGTATCACGTTTGATAATGAATTTAAGTCAGCTACTGTAGTTCAAACCGACTACAGTCATACCTCAGGTTGCGAATGCTGCAGGTTGCGCATTTTCGGGTTAGGGACCTCACTGAACCCGGAAGTACTGGAACGGGTTACTTCCGGGTTTCGGTGCTCGCGCATGCACAGAAGCACCAAATCGCGTCACATGCGTGCGAAGACGCGGCGCTACGGGTTGCGAACGTTGCTTCCTGCACACAGATCATGTTCACAACCCGAGGTTCCACTGTATTCCCATTCAAATTCCTCCAGATAACTTGTTCAATCTATTTGCACCCCACCCTAGATCACACCAACATAGTTCCTCTTCAATTTATTTACCCCAATTAATTTATCAATAGATTCTGCCCCAAATAAATTAATTACTTTCTGTTCCCCTCGTTTGTTATCCCATCCCGCATTATCCCTAGATAAATGCATCTTTTCATCAACCCCTCCAAATTAACATGCAGCAATCCAAAACCATTGCCCAGCCAGAAATACTTGGGGCACTTTGAAAAGGATTTGGGAGCCTCTGCCCTGTGGGCAACAATCCGCGCCTCCCTGGGTGAGAGATTGGCATATGTAGCGTGTGGGCTTTACCTAGCCTGTAAAACTGTCTGGAAATCTAGCATAGTTGCCTATTTGAGCTCCTTGGCTTGTTGGTACAGCATGAAACACTTGACCCATTAAGGATGATTGTTCTGCTTCTGTTTAATTGTACTGTAAACTGTTTGTCCGAACACAGGAGCAGTTCTCAAGACAGATGACAATACGGAGAAGGTTGAAGAGGAGGAAAAAGGTAAGCCTCTTGGACCCCAGAGGGCAAGCTGGGGGAAAGCAAAGATAAACGGGGGGGGGGAATAACTCAGTGGGTAAAGCATGTCCCGTTGCACATACAAAAGTCCCTGGTTCAATCCCCTGCATCTTCAGTTAAAGTATCTGTGGTGGTAGTGGTAGGAGACTGCTGCTGGGCTCCAACTCCCATCAGCCGCAGGCAGCATAGCCAGCAGGTAGGGATGTTGGGAGTTGTAGTCCAACAACATATGGGGGCTACATTTCCCCTTCTGTGGCTGGTGCTGATGGGAGCTGTAGTTGGAAACATCTGAACATATCATGTTGGTGAAGGCTTCTGTCTGTCTTGGAGAGCCACTGCCTGCCTACCTGGATCGACCAGTGGTATTACTTGTTCCTTTTGGGGGTGGAGCCATAACTCGGTGGTAGAGTGTCTGACCACAAGAAGAGCCTACTGGATCAAGCCACAGCCTCCTTTTCTTGGGAGGCCTAGGCAGCCAAGTGTCACTGTCCAGTTCTTTTATGTCCTGAGGGAAAGCAAAGCCCACCAGGGTTCCATTCATGGTGCCAGCAGCTTTTCCATCTGCTGGTTCTATCTCAACCACTGGGACAAGAATCCACACCTTCGACTTTCTAATCCAGAGTGAAAGACTTGGCAGGATGTACCCCCGCCTCCTTCACAGTACAGATAATGTTCAGTGGATTTGAAAGGATGTTATTTTTACGGGTGTCCAGGGCCACATTCGCACGGCACATTTACAGCACTATGATAGAACTTTCAACAATCAGGACTCCCCCCCCCCAACCAAAGAACTTTGGGAGCTGTAGTTTGTGAAAAGTTCTGGGAGTTATTAGGAGGCCCCTGTTCTCCTCCCAGAGTTACAATTTCTAGAGTTCCCTGGGAAGAAAGATGGCTTGTTAAACCACCCTGGGAACTGTAGCTCTGTGAGGGCATTAGGGCTCTCGGCACCCTTAACGAACTACCCCTCCCAGAATTCTTTTGGGGCAAAGCCAGGACTTTAAAGTGTTTAAAGTGATGTTTAAAGTGTTTAAAGGCACCAATTACAGGGGGAAGAGGTGTGTGTGTATCACTGACCTTCCAAAGGAGCCCAGCATGTTTTGAACAGAGTTCTTCCTTGTGCGGTACTCCTAAAGAACCAATTTCAGTTCTGGTCATTTTGTGCTGTTCATAGTAGTCCATATGTTATAGGTGTCCAGCCAGTATATCAGTACTCTAGCTGCCATCACCCCTGGCCATTGGCCACGCTGGCTGGAACTGATTAGGGCTGGAGTCCCAACAACCTCTGGCTGCAGGTTGTTCATCCCTGCAGTATATGGATTAAATAGGCGCTAGGGAACAACCCATATCTCCTTTATTTTCAGTTTTCCCAAAGTACTTTTACCAAAAATGTGCCAAGTTTGGTGGAGGGAGGACAGTGAGTCTCTGTAGAGAAGCATTGCCAACCTGCTGCCCTCCAGATGTTTTGAACTATAGCACTACTCGGTCCCAGGTCTCTTGGGTGTTCCACACTGCTACTCCACACAGCTTCATTCAAACAAGGCCATAATTCGGTTGACAGAATTCAGAAGTGATGGTCACTGCTGGCTTTGAACTGCTTCTGCCAAGGGATTGAACTGCAGACTACTTGCTCCCCCTTCAACATTTTCTTTCCTTCTTTCTGTCAGAGGACCGAGCCGCCCAGTCGTTGCTCAACAAGCTGATCCGCAGCAACCTGGTGGACAACACGAACCAAGTAGAGGTTTTGCAGAGGGATCCTACGTCGCCTCTCTACTCCGTGAAGTCTTTCGAGGAGCTGCGGCTGTAAGTGCCTCTCCCAGCTTCCCTTTTCGAGCCATGGGCCCATGTTTCCCTGCACCCGTTGGGTAAAATGAACTTTTCAGCCTTGCCCCTTCCTGGTGCAGCCCCAGTTTCTCCAGAAAGGGTGATCTTAGCGGGTGGGTGGTGGAGCTGCTGTGTAATTTGTGTGAGGTGGGATCCCAAGTTGCACTGAATGATGTGGACAAATTCTGGACTGTTACTGCAGGCAGAGATACCCATTTCCTCTTACTTGATCCCAAAACGTGAACGGCTGGGCCATCTGCTATCTTCTGGACTTGATTCAAATTGTTAGGCTTGGCTTGTTCATGTCTCAGAAGCAGCCTTTTACATCTGGCTTGGACCATGGTTCATGGAATGCAGCAAAATAGCTTAAGCAATTCTGGAAGAAAATACTCCCACCACCCTTTTGAGATAATGCTTACCCTCCTGTAGTTTTTATTATAAGTCCTTGCCATTGTTTAAAATAGAACATTAAAATTCTCGTGTCCCATTTTAGGAGGACTTTTAGGGTTGTATTCAACCAATACCAAATTAGAGTAGAAATGTTGAAATTATGGACCTCCAGTTACTTGTGCCTATTATCTTCAGTGGGTCTATCTCTGAATGGGACTAGCATTGAATGCAACCCTTAGTTTCTGTTGTGGCACCACTAGCCTGTTAGGGACTAACATCTGGTCCCTCCAGCTATCATTTCCAGGCTGGAGTTATTTCTTCTGAGTCCTGCCATGGCCCAGGCGTGAGAGTTGCATTTGACGCACCTGAGAACGGGGAGCTAGGGGAGCAGGGAGATATTTTGCCTCTCCCTAACAACTCTAGTTCATCTTAATTTTATTTTGACTATATCGTCAGCTGCCTTGAACTTTGGCTAGTAGGTGGGGTATAAATGAATGTTTTGTAATTGAATAAATGTTGCTGCCCTAATTATAGTTGCTGCCTAATTGAGCTGAGTTTGCCGTCGCTGTGAGGGAAGAGAGACCTTGTGTCATGGTTGTGGCATAGAGGCCGATCCGTGCCCTGCGTTAGCAGCTGGCAGCGTGGGTAGATAATGCTTTTCCTGGCTTTGTTCAAGTCCGTTTAAAGATGAAAAGCATCTGGGCTTAACGGTTGATCACTGTCTCTGCCAAGCACACAGGGAAAACAGAGTTGCATCTTCTCTACAGAGAGATACAGCCTCATTTTATATGTCTTGAAAGAAGCCCTGTTGAGTTCAGGGGGCTTCTAGAGAAACACCCTGATATCAAATGGAAGAGCTTTGAAGGGGCTGGACAAAATTGTAGCTGCTGGTTCTCTCCCCCCCCCCCCCCGCCCGCCCCCATTTCCTGTCCCGGAGGCATTACGCTGCAAGCTCTAAAGCTGGATCAGAATATTTTTGTGGCCAATGTGCCCCACCGCCGCTGCCACCCTTCCCTGTGGCTAGTACATTGTGTGCATGTGGTTGCTGCTGTCAGGATGATATGTGGGTGCTTGCCGAGATAACAGCCCAGGATTCCAGCCAGTCTTTACAAGATTTATTAAGTCCAAAACTATGTACAGTACGGAGCTCTTAAAAGCATGTCTGCCTCAGTCACTATCAGTTGCCGGAAGTGGCTCGGGCCTGTTCCCCCTCCGGAAGTGAAACTTCCTGAGACACCCCCTTTTCCTCCTCTCCTTATGTGAAAACCTAAGCGCCAGAGGCTGCTCTTTTCTCTCAACTATAACAGCCTTTAGATCTCCCTCCCTCTCATTTTCTGTATTTCCTGACAGCCCCTCCTCCTCTCCCTCTGACGAAGTGCAGCTGCTCATCAAAGGAGGCGGCTCTCTGTACATTCCGGTCTCTCCCCCCTTCTCTGCCAACTGATCCCTGACAGCTGCATTATGTGAAAGGGCTAAGGTACCAGTCCTCATGGCAATGCACGGGCAGCAAAGGTGCAGAAAAACGAGATGGGCAAGTGGAACTGAGCTTCCATTTACTGAGAGGTGTCTTGGAACAATTTTGCCCCCCCCCTCCATTTTTCTCTCCCCTTCCAGCCTGCTAGCTCCTCTTCCTTTTGGTGTGTGTTCTATCCTCCCTATTCCTGGCCCTAGTTTCCTGTAATATGACCAGCTGTCCCTAACTTGTATTTCCTGTTTCAGTACATCAGGTTCCCTCAATCTAGATGCTCTTGGACTCCAGCACCCATAATCCATGACGGTTGGCCATGCCGACTGGGGCTGATGGGAGTTGGAGTCTTAAAAACCTATGGAGGGCTACCCCTGAAGTGGATCTTTACCATGATGGTTCCCATCCCTGCTGCAAAGTTTGCACTGTCCCAGTTTACCCTATCCACAGGGCGATGCGCCTCCTCCTGTCAAGCCATACATACTTGTTTCTGTTGCGCGTACTGGGAAATCCATTTGCTCAGTGGTGTCGAACACTTTGGGTTGTATCCAACTATGATATACTCAGAGTAGACAAGATTGAACTTCGTATTAGTCATGTCCATTAACTGCAGTGGGTCTGCTCTGAATTGCACCAGCATTGGCTACAACTCAGGGTCTGCCACTGATCACTACCCAGTGGCCTCCCTTTATCCACCTGGATAAGAAGATCCCATCTTTAATTGCTTTGTAGCATCCCATTCCTGCAGGATCTTCTAGCAGCCATCTCCTAAAGGGCCCTGCTTCTTGCCAAGGAGCTGAATGGTTTTGTCTGGTGAGGGCTCTGTTGTTGTTGGGAAAGATGCTTCCCTCCTTGTGCCCCTCCTTCAGGAGATTGCTACCAACTGGCAACTCGAGAGACCTCCTTTCCCTTATATCTTCAGTCGAGTGTTGCAGTCTGCAGGAGAGTTTTCTCCTGCGAGTTTCAAAAGTCGCCGTAACTCTGAGCAAGGGCTCTTAGTGTGGTGGCTGCCCCTGTTCTGTGAAACAGCATTCTGGAAGCAGTTGAATATATTTTTGCTCCAGCAGGCTTCCCCAGCTGAATAAATGGGTCTTTGCCACAAGTGTCCACTTGTTAGAGTTTAAGTCTTGTTCTATTTGTGGTTTTAATTGTATAATTATATGTAAATCACATTGAAGATGGTGGTTTAGAAGGTGATTTTTAAAATCGGTTGCAATAATAGCTGATAGACGTGGAGAGCGGGGAGGTTGGGGGAAGTCGCTTTAGATTGTACACTCTTCTCTATTTGGAGAGCAAAGGATTTCATTGGAAAAATCAAAGGCAAGGCTAATTATAGTGATCTTCAGATAAGTCGAGTCTCCGGTTCCTCTTCACAGCCTACGTGTCTCCTTGGCAACGCACTCGAAAGTTCAAGGCTTCGCAGATTTCTGGCGTTTTGAGACAATGCCTGGCTTTTTTCCAGAGGGCTTTTCCAGAGCCCGTACTGGGCGCAGAGTGGTCACATGGAAAAGCCTGCAGCAGTCTTTCATGAAGCGGAGGATTGGGAGGGGGGCACCTTCACTCACCTTGTGGTCTCTCTTCCCGGATACGGGAAGCTCGGTGTTGGGAGATACAGGACAGATTGGTGAAAGGGCTTCTTCACATAACGCATAGGTAAACTTACGGAACTCCCTCCCACAGGAGGCAGTCACGGCCACCGACTTGGGAGGCTTTAAAAGAGGATTGGACAAATTCACAGGGGGAGAGAAGGCTGTCAGTGGTTACTAATCCCAATGGAGGCTATGCTCCACTATTGGAGTCTGTGATGCTTCTGTATGTCGGTTGCTGGAAACTGCAGGAGGGGAAGAGTGCTTTTGTGCTCACGTACCCAGTGTGAGAACAGGATGCTGGACAAGATGGGCCATTGGCCCTGATCCAGCAGGCTCTTCTTAAGAATGTAGGAAGCTCCCTTTGCACCAGGTAGGAGAGTCCGTCTAGCCCAGTGCTGCCTTCTGGGCCCAGTAGCAGCGCTTCAGGATCTTAGGCTGAGACAGGTTTTTCCTGTCTCCTGTTACCTGACACTTTTAACTGGACGTTCTTGGGGTTGAACTGGAGTCTGTCACTTGAGCCAAGGGCCCTTCCCTACATAACAAGCTGTCTTTATATGGAGTCAAACTGTTGGTCCGTCTAGTTTAGTATTGTCTGTGCTGATTGGTAGCTCTCTGGGTTTTCAGATGGGAGCCTTTGTCTACCCTTCCTGGAGATGTCAGTGATTGCACTTGCGTGCAAAACTTGCAGCCCTTCCCCAGAAGGAATTGTGAGTTTTCATAATAAAGAACATAAGACACTGTCATACACTAGAGCCTGTTTGCTCATCTGGGAGACGCAGAGTTTTGTCTTCTCCCCAGGATCTCGGACTGAGAAGATTCTTCCACATCACCTGCTCCCCTGATGATGGCACCTGAGACCTTTTTCTATGAACTCATACCCCAAGCTATTGTTTCTCTAACCCAGTGTTCTTCAACCTTGGGTCTCCAGATCTTGCTGGATTACAACTCCCATCATCCCCGACCGCTGACCTTGCTGTGGATAATGGGTGTTGTAGTCCAACAACTTCTGGGGACCCCAGGTTGCGGGACAGTCTGCAGGCCTGGGATGGCTAACTTGTGTTTGACACCCATCAACCCCAGCCAGCATGGCCAGTGGTCAGAGAAGGGAGTCTGGAGGACCACAGGTTTCACCATTGCTGCTCTAGACGCTTTTATCCCCACTGAGCTCACTTTGGTACACAGTGGGCTACCAAGGATGTTCAAAGCACCCTTTTGCAGTTGAGGCTTCCAGGCTCTCTGCTTCGTGCTGGTTTGGGGCACTGCGGTATTTAAAAAGGGAGGTCCACATCTGCATTTTAGCAAGGTATAAGAGTGTGTCGAATCTATTTTCGAAAAGCTGCAGAAGGGAAACTGGTGTTTTTGTTTCTTTGATTGCATCGCCTGCTGCTACTCCTACCACAGATTCTTTTTTTTTTATGATATTTATTAAAGTTTCACATAAAAAAAGACACGTCAATAAGAAAAAAATTTAAAATTAAAAAGAAAAATACAGTATACAAAATACAGAAAGAAAAAAAAACAGTTAAAAACAGTTCCATCTTTTCATCACTACTTTTGAATTTACTTATTTTTCTGGACCTCCTCATACCTCCCTCTTTTGTATTCTAATTCAGTTTGTTTGTCCAGCAATTTCTTTCCCTCCTTTTCAATCCCAATCCTTGATCTTAATATAATATAACATTAAATTTTTACCTATTAATAGCCAATTTTCCATTCTTTTAACCTTTTTAATCCTAATCCTTAATCTTGATCTGTATATAACTTTTAAAGCCTGTACAGCTAGAAACCACTTAATTTCCATCCATCATCACTCTAACATTCTTTAATTTTGCAATATTTCTGTAGGTAATCTTTAAATTTCTTCCAATCTTCTTCCACCAACTCTTCTCCCTGGTCACGGATTCTGCCAGTCATTTCCGCCTAATTCCATATAGTCCATCAATTTCATCTGCCATTCCTCCAGTGTGGGTAGCTCTTGTGTCTTCCAATACTTTGCGATGAGTATTCTTGCTGCTGTTGTTCCATACATAAAGAAAGTTCTATCCTTTTTTAACACCGATTGGCCGACTATGCCCAGGAGAAAGGCCTCTGGTTTCTTCAAGAAGGTATATTTAAATTAAATACTCTGGCTTCTCCTCAGATCGTATAAATCTTTCGCCTTTTCCTACCACAGATTCTAAGGCATCTTCAGGAGCAAATGAAGTAGCCACCTTTTAAAACTTTTAAAAACATGCCATTTTTAAAGCTACTGCATTCAGCAGAGACTGGCCCGGGAAGTGTTTGCCTTCATAAATGTGGGACTGGGAAAAGACACAGCAGAGGGCTTAGCCTTACTGGCCTTTTTTGCTGAGATTGCAATGTCTAAATCCATAGCCTCTGTTGCTGAGCTTCTGATGCTGTCTGTTAACTACTTCCTGCCCAGCCCACAGCTTCTCATCAGAAAAGCGAGGGATGAAATCCAGCTGCCGGGCAGCCATGTGTCAACTAGGGCTTATCAGATGGTTCGGAAATGGTACAACGGTATAATGTATGTTTGTTGCTGTGCCCATTTGTTGCGGCAAGCCTCCTATTCAGACAGCTGCAAGGCCCAGTCCTGCTCTGCTTTTGCCGCAGGAGTGTGCTGTGCCTGCCTTCAGGCTGTTCCTTAGCAGCCTTTTTGCTTAGCCTTTTTGTCTTCTTCCTTGTAGGAAGCCACAGCTGCTGCAGGGTGTCTATGCCATGGGTTTCAACAGACCATCCAAAATCCAAGAGAACGCATTGCCCATGATGCTGGCAGAACCGTATGTATTGGTGCATACCTGTTGCAGTGCCTGATGGGTATGGGGAAGGTGTGGGGTTGGCTGGTTATGCCAGGTAGTCAAGAGAGTCTTCAGGCTGGGAGGGGCCCAAAGACTAGGGATGGTGGGCAAGCTTCCCTGTAAAGTTGCCCGTCACTTCTGATCTTACTCTTCCCACTTCCCGCACAGCTTGCAGCTAGGTGTGTTTTGAAAGGAACATGTAGCTCATGGGGTGCCACAATGTGGCCCAACAGGAATTTTCCTTTTAATAGTCCCCTCCTCAATACACAAGTCTTATAATCCCTCCCCCCCCCCACTTTGGTGTGTGTCTCCAGTCCACAGAACCTGATTGCGCAGTCACAGTCTGGTACCGGTAAGACGGCAGCTTTTGTCTTGGCGATGCTTAGCAGAGTGGAGCCGGAGCACAGATACCCCCAGGTAACAGCGGATCTCTTCAGCATAGTCTCCTCAGAGGGCCAGTGTCAGGCTTTCTTCTTGCCACTTTTGCAGAGCTCCTCTCTATTTACGGTGTAATTGGCCAATCAGCTGAACCATGGGTTGGAAGCCTTTTTCCAGCTTGAGGACCGCATTCCCTTTTAGGAAACCTTGTGCGGGTCATGTGTCAGTCGTAGAAGGGAGCAAAGGCAAAGTGGGCTGAGCGACATGCATAAAAGTGAGGGGGGGAGGGAGGGAGATAAAGAGAGAACAGACTGGGGATAGGTTTCTCCCTGGGAATGAATGGCAACCACTCCACAAGCATGGCAGGAACTGAGGCCATGTGGCGGAGGATGCGCTGCACCATAGTAACATCATAACATCCACTTGCCTTAGGACAGTGTCCCAGACTTGCCTCCTTCCTCTTGCAGTGTCTCTGCCTCTCTCCAACCTACGAGCTGGCTCTTCAGACAGGGAAGGTGATCGAGCAGATGGGCAGGTTTTATCCAGAGCTGAAGCTGGCCTACGCGGTTCGAGGCAACAAACGTGAGTGTGAACTCCGTCCTGCTGAATAATACTCAGTATCTCACAAGCAGACTAGAGTACGCAGGCAAGGAAATGTCAAAAGGGGCATAAGTCACCAGGGAGGGACCGAATCCTAACTGGAAGGCCTTTGCGGGGTTTATGTGGCTGTGGGACTCATCCAGATGATGCTGATAATAGCCTGAGCCAGCAGGATCCAGACCAGACCAATTGGCCCCTCAAGTTGGTGTTTCTATAGTTAACCTGCTGGGTTGCTTACAAATGTGGGTTTTCTGGCTGACGGGGTTGATGAGCTCTTTCAATGCTGAATTTTAGACATTGCGAGTGAGGGGCTGGAGATGGGGAAGAGTTGGTTTCCACAGATGGTAGGAGACGAAGCACAGTTTGGTCGCTCCAGCAGGACTCTCCCAGGAAAGCGCGCCCAAGCAGATAGTGCTGCCCTTTCTGGGTCTGCTGAGGTTCTGCCTACCTCACATCTGCCCTTGATCTCTTCCATGAATAGTGGAGCGTGGCCAGAAGATTGCTGAGCAGATTGTCATTGGCACGCCTGGCACCGTCCTGGATTGGTGCTCCAAGCTGAAATTCATTGACCCCAAGAAGATCAAAGTCTTTGTCTTGGATGAGGCCGATGTCATGATAGCCACCCAGGGTCACCAGGATCAGAGCATCCGCATCCAGAGGTAAGGGTGGACGCCTTGTACAATTGACTGGGTGCCTTGTCACCAGTTCGATGCCGGATTTCCCTGGCGCAGCTGTGCACATCCAGTACCCTTCCGGTTAGTTGCAAATTTCAACAGAAACGAAACTTACTTCTGACTTTACCGGCCCGAAGGAGCTTGGGCCTTGCATAATAGTAGTTGCTTCAGGAGCTCTGTTATCTCCCTATAATTGTCCCAGTCTGCCACGTTTGGCATTTTAGGTACGGTGCTACTACATTGATGGCTACCAGCCACAGTGGCTGTCCTCTGCCACCACAGTTGGAGGCAGCAATGCATCTGAGTTTCAGGTGCTGGGAACCACAGGAGGGGAGAGGGCTCTTGTGCCCGGGTCCTACTTGCAGGTTTCCTGCAGGCTTTTGGTTGGCTGCTGTGAGAACAGGATGCTGGACTAGATGGGCCGTTGGCCTGGTCCAGCAGGCTCTTCTTAGGTTGTAGTAATGGTCCCTAGTTTAGAAATCAAAGGGGATTAGACACATTTATGGAAAAGGAGAAGTCTCAAAAATGTAAGCTGTAGCAGTGATGGCTCAATGGAACCTCCAAGTTTGTCAATGTCTTTCTGAAAAAACTCTGCTGGGGGAGCAGGGATCCCAAGATGGCAGTGGAGGAGTGTTCTCTTCAAGCCCTGATTGTGGGCTTCTGGGAACTTCTGGTCAACAGCTGTTGAGAAGAAAAGTCTCTGGCTAGAAGGGCCATTGGTGTGATCCAGTGGAGTTGTTCAGTTCTTATTGTGACTCTCTAGCTGAGGAAAGAATGTGGCTTTTCTCCCCACCCCACCCGTATCCTATTTCTCAGGATGCTTCCCAAAGACTGCCAGATGTTGCTCTTCTCAGCCACGTTTGAAGATTCTGTGTGGAAGTTTGCCCAGAAAGTTGTCCCCGACCCCAACATCATCAAGCTGAAGCGGGAGGAGGAGACTCTGGACACCATCAAACAGTATTACGTCCTGTGCAACAGCCGTGAGGAGAAATTCCATGCCCTCTGCAACATCTATGGCGCCATCACAATTGCACAAGCCATGATCTTCTGCCACGTGAGTCCTTTTTTTGTTTGCTGCTCACCAACCCCTCTTGCTTTTGGCTTCATGCAAATCCAAAACAGTGATGCATCACTACAAATCCTCCAGTGGGGGCTGTGCTATGGCAGCCTTGCATTTTTTATGCATATAGGAAGAAATTAAAAATATTTCCAACTAAATAGCGGATCATATAGATAACACAGCAGAGGCCCAAAAGCACATAGTATCCTTTTGCAAAATATTTTTGGAGACAGTATTCATTTTTGGTGCTGGTTTTGCCCTTCTGCTATTATAATATTCACAACAGACTGTGTGATTCAGCATTTTCCTAAGTAATGGGATCCGATTTTCAACACATTCATCATCAATTTGTCTCCTTTCTCTCACTTTTATTGTATTAGTTGATTTTATCATTTGGGCACCATCCCATAGTTTTATAATCCAGCAGTCCAATGCTGGAACATTTTTTTTTCTTGCTTGAAACTAATTGCCATGCAGGCAGCTGTTGGAAAGTGTTGTTATCTCCCTGTCCTTTAACGAAACATAGTCTTTTACATATCCCAATGTTACTTGTAGCAAATGCCCTATTATATTCTCAATTTATTTCAACACTGAAGTCCAGGAGGGTATTATTTGAGGACATGGCCAAAATCTGTGTCGTATATCGGCACTTGTAGTCTTGCATCTCCAACACAGGTTATTTGATTAAGTCTAGCTAGGGTCAAGTAAGACCTGAAGATGAGTTTGTAGAAATCTTCTGAGACTGATGGGGAATACATATGCATTCTCCATTCCCAAGTTTTGATGGGTTTCCAGAAACTTGTCCCAGGATCTTTCCCCAGATCTCTTCCCATATTTCTGGATGGCTATTGGGCATTGTATCCAGTTTCACAATTAGTTTCCAGGTCTTCTGGAGTAGCATGTAAGTGCTTTGAGGGAAGAGGTGGGGACATCCCAGTTTTAAAAAAGAATTAAATCGGCTCATTTTTAAAAGAACTAAATCGGCACCTACACCATCTACTGCCATACTCAGAGAGAGAGAGAGCTTTTTGCACCTCAGCTCTGTTCTGACCTACTGGGAGGGTGAGTGTCTAATCCTTGCATCATCGAATGAAACATAGGCCTATTTAAGAGGCTCATGCTCAATGTCGGAGAGACTGAGCCAATGCAAAGAGGAACTGAGCAGGAAGTACCTAAGTGGAGTTTTTCCTTTATTTCCAAATGTAGGGTTAAGCAGAGGTGGAAATCCCTTGCCATAAAAAAGCCCCTCTCTGTTGGTGTTCATGGAGGTGCTCCTCTTTTTGTTTCACATTTTGCAGACTCGCAAAACAGCTGGCTGGCTAGCTGGGGAGCTCTCCAAGGAGGGTCACCAGGTGGCACTCTTGAGTGGCGAGATGATGGTGGAGCAGCGTGCTGCAGTGATCGATCGCTTCCGGGAGGGCAAGGAGAAAGTGTTGGTGACTACGAATGTCTGTGCCCGAGGTAACGGTGTACTCCCTGTACTCTCCAAAATTGGCTTCGGGGTCAGGAGGACCCCCGGAATGGGGGCTGGAGGGAGGAGAGGGCAAACCAAAATACTTGCCCTGATGGAACGATTGCCTTAGTGCACTACTCAATACCTCTCCCATTCCTGCATTGCAGGGGGTTGGACTAGATGACCCTGGTGGCCCCTTCCAACACTGATTTTATGATTCAGTTCCATTTTGTTTGTTTTTGAAAACAAAAAATCAGAACTAAGAGAACTTGGAAAAGGCTGCTAGATTTTAAGTAAATAAATTGGTGGCTGGTTTTTTTGTTGGTATGTTTTAAGGGCACATTTTAGGCCTTCTGTGCTGCAAACATTCTGTGCTTTTGTAAACCTTATTCCTTCTATAAAGGAACGAGCTGTCCTCTCCAAATCTCGCAATGCTCTCCTCCCCTAGGGATTGACGTGGAGCAGGTCTCCGTCGTCATCAACTTTGACCTTCCAGTGGATAAAGATGGGAATCCGGACAACGAGACATATCTTCACCGCATTGGCCGCACGGGACGTTTTGGCAAGCGGGGCCTGGCCATCAACATGGTGGACAGCAAGCACAGTTTGAACATCCTCAACAGGATCCAGGAACATTTCAGTACGTCCTGCCATGCTTCTTTCCCCCATCTTTTGTTGAGCAGCTTAAGCGGCTATTGTGCAACCTAACAGGGCACTTCCAAGTCGAATAATTGTGTGCTGTTCTGGGTGTTCTGCACCCCACATCAGAAAGGTGGGAGGAGTGGTGGAAACTTGAACCCCTATTTGCTGGGATCTCCAAGTGTTGTTGGACTCCAGCGGCCCCCATCAACATGGCGAGTTGTTGTGGATGATGGGAACTGGAGTCCAACACCATCTGGAGGGCCGCATGTTCCCCCCTCTTAATCTTTTGGGATAAACTACGCATCTCCACCTGGTAATGATTGGATATCCTCAGAAACAGGCCTCTGGGAAAACCACTCTGTCAAACTGTTTGTGAGGACAGGTGAGGTTGGTGAGGCCTCTCCATCCCCAGCCAAAGCAACTTGGCCAAGGAGAATCTCTCTCCCTCCCAGACTGAAGCTTCACAATCACTGGATTAGATTAGTAATCCTCAAACTCTGCCATGAGAGAGAGCTGCCAGTGTTGTCCCAAGAATTACCTTTTTTAAAAAATAAATTGAATGCAATATTTCCCAACCTAGCTGTCCTCTACCTAGCTGCTGTCAGACTACGATTCCCCTCAACCCTGGTGGCCAGGGATGGTGATGGAAAGTCGGGGTGCACCAGGTTGGCCGAAGCTAATTTAACGTCCCTTGGGGGTTATCAACTCAGAAGGCGGACCACTATTTCTGTGGAAGTAGGCAAGGCCAGAACAGAGAGCCATGCCATCAGCTCTGTTCCCAGGGGACTGTCATTGTGTGTGCTGGGACCCACTGCACAGAAGGTGCCTAACTGCCTTCCTCTCTGAGAGATGGTGTCTGTTGTCTCTCTGCATGAAGCACTGTGCTGGACTTGCCTTCTTCCAATTAGGGATGTGCTCTGAGGCTTTGAGCACTGATTTGTGCAGTAGCAAAGGAGGTGGGCCTTCTGGGAAGGTGGCCGACTCTCAATCCTGTACACTGGGAGGCCACTCAGAGTGGCTGGGGCAACCCAGATAGATGGGCGGGATACAAATAATAAAATTGTTGTTGCTGTTGTTATTACTGTAAAAGTGAAGTGGTATGTTTCTCCAGGTTCCGTTTTAATTGTGAAAAAGATGTTTGGCTGTCGGCCTTTAAATGTTTCTCACCACCACCCCTCCTTGGTTTAACCTGAGGAGGATTTGGTTTGATGCAATCCCTGGTCGTAATTCCAGTTCTTTCTTGTTAATTTGACTCCACTTTCTTTCTCCCCCCGCCCCCTCCCCAGACAAGAAAATTCACAAGCTGGATACAGACGATTTGGATGAAATTGAGAAAATAGCAAATTGAAGCCCGGTTGCCGGAATTGGTGCACAATCCCTCCCACGGTAGCACTCCTACTGCAATTGGATCGCATCCTGATTGGCACACGTCTTAGCCAGTCACACGCAAAGGGACTTTTTAAAGATAACAAATACACAGAAATTACCTCAACTTTAAAAAAGAAAAAAAAAAAAGTGTGTGGCTGGACTTGATTTTTAAAGAAGTACAAACTTTGGAGAAAGAAGAAATGTTTACAACAAATTTTAACTTCCTTTTTTATTTTTTAGTTTAGCCTTAAAATGGGAAGATATCTTAAATTCTAAAGATGATGCCAAAAACATAGCCAATCACTAAGTAGAGGAGAGAATCAGACACACCTGCTTTGATCTCTGTCAAGAGAGGAGCAACATTTTAACCATGGCCAAGCGGTATATTAAATGTTCCAACAACCCAGTTGTATATAGAGAGGACCTTCTGTTCTTTGACGGAGAGAGCTCGGAAATCTGGCAAAAAGGAGTTTTTGTGAAATGGCGTTTTTCACTTAGAGCTTTCTGTTTCCTAGATCTCTGCAGATCACACTGCTAATTCCTTAGATAGGTGGTCCAGAGGTAATTGCTCTTCAGTAGGCTGAACAATCACCTGACTTTTAACTTCTCCCTTGCAAGGAACATGCCCTAGGAACTGTATTCTAACCTGCTGACCTGCAGAAGCTTTTGGACTCCAAACTCGCAGCAGGCAGCATGGGCGCCTTAGTCAAAATATGATGGGTGTGATAGTCCAACTGCATCTAGGGAGGTCCTATACTGACCACCCCTGTTCTATGGAGTCTTGAGATCCTCAGTCACCACGCAGGACTGCCCAGAGTGGCTTGAGGGGAGAGCTGTTGCTTTTGGATATGTTTTTTGTTCACAGGGTTGGCAGAGGCAGTGTCTGCTGTAGATTTTGGAAGGTCAGGCACCCTTTGTGAGCCTGCCTCCTCATTGCTTCAGGTCCAGGAGTCTCTTTTGGCTCTCAGCAAATGCATGGTCATGCCAGCCTTTGTGGTACCCCTGGAGCTGTCTTTGTATTTAAAATGCTGTTGTGGCGAAGGATGCCAATTTAGCACAGTGGATGTAGGGTGTATTATCAGTTCTGCCATACCAGAAAAGACAACCTGTACTACTTCGGTCAGGAAAAGGGATGAAGAGGTTAATCAGCAAGTCCTCCGTTGTGTCAGAGTATCGGGTAGATCTGCACTTTGCAAGCAGGGAGCAATGAAGAAGTAGAGGAGGATGGATTAAAGATTTGTTGGTTGCATGCCCCCATCGCCCAAGGAAAAGGATTGCAAACGATGGCTCTTACTCTAGCAATGCAACTGCAAAGCCAGTATAACCTCTTTCCTGGGCCTTGTTTCATTCCCATCGTAAAGTCTGCCAGCAGGCTGCATTTTAGACAGGTATAACAATTCCAAGGCCACCTGGTTGCCAGGGTAGACTCTAATAGACCCAGTTGTATTCCTGGCCTCTGTAGCAGCTGATCTGGAGGCAGGGGAAGCTCAGTCTTATCTTTGTGCCCTTCTGACACAAGGTGTGGCCGATTCCGGAAATCCATCTAGAACGGAATGGTGGACGTCGAACTGTCTAGGCCAATTCAGACTAACTTCTGTTGCAGCACAGCAAAAAGGGAACTTGTGGTCAGGCAGGAAAAGGGATGCATTGTGGGGCCAAAGACTTCTTGTACTAATGCAGTTTTTAAGTATGTTTTATCTTGAAAGGGGGGCAGTTCCCCCAACCTCATGACAGTTGGAGGATTGGGACAACCCCCTACTTGGCACAGGAATCTTTTAAAAAAACCTAATAAATGGTAAATTTTGTGGATTTATCCATATCCTTTTTAAAAATGTCATTTTAAATTTTTTTAAAACATTCCAGTTGTTAACTTCTGTTCAATGATGGAAATATGGAATCTAAATATAAATATATACTTTAGGAAGTGGACAAATGCAGACTCCAATCAATTTGTGTTAAACGGCTTTAAGAAGTGGTGGAGCCATTAAAAAAAAATACATAACAACTTTACCAGGATATATCTATTTTTCTTCCTTGCAAGGGGGACAGCTGAGTGTGTGCTTTTTTGTGGCAGAGGCTATTCAACCACTTTCTTTATGTAGAACTGCCGAGTGACAATATTGAGAGCATTGTGCTGGTCTTGAATAGAAGATGGGTGGGCCTGCGTGGTTTTCCTAATGTACTTTTCAGTTGGAATAAAGAACCCAAAAGACTGAAATGTAGTCCTGGCTGCCTTTCTCATTCAGGTAGACTACTTTTTTCAGCCAGAGTTGACAATTGCGTGTGTCTGTATTAACAACCAGCTTTGCAGCACTGGACTGGGAGCAGGTTTAAAAAAATTATCCCAGGACTGTACTTCAGGAGGGATGTTGAGCAAACTGGGCAAGATGAGGTGGATCTCATGTTTAAGTCTTAAAAGGTTGTAGTTTGTATACATCTTAAGGTTTATTGTCAGTGTAGACAATAATCAGCTAGACCAGGGGTAGGCAACCTAAGGCCAGATGCGGCCCAATCGCCTTCTCAATCCGGCCTGCGGACGGTCCCGGAATCAGCGTGTTTTTACATGGGTAGAATGTGCTTTTATTTAAAATGCATCTCTGGGTTATTTGTGGGGCATATGAATTCGTGCATTCCACCCCCCCCAAAAAATATAGTCCGGCCCACCACATGGTCTGAGGGACAGTGGACCGGCCCACGGCTGAAAAAGGTTGCTGACCCCTGAGCTAGACTGACCAATGATACGACTTTCTGTTGTTGTTGTTGTTTAGTCGTGTCCAACTCTTCGTGACCCCATGGACCAGAGCACACCAGGCACTCCTGTCTTCCACTGCCTCCCGCAGTTTGGTCAGACTCATGGGCCCTGTGTCCTCCCCAAATGGGAAACCACAGAGCAGATTTATATTGTGCAAACTGAAATCCTTGCACTAACAGGATGCATTAGATATGCTGGGCAGGATCCAACTATGTCCCATCAATTTCAGTGTATCTGTTCTTGAGTAAGGGTAAAACAGAAATAACCCACTTTGTTTGACAACACAGGTAAAGATGGCTGTGTTACCTTTGAGCTCAGGGGAATTGGGATGGTTGCTGTTAAGCACAATATCTTTGATGAAGACACCTCTTGAACTGGTCCAATGTGCTTACCATTAGCCACCTTGACCTTCTGTCAAGAAGGAAAGTGGGATAGAAACTATAAAAGTGGGGTGGAGACCTTTGGTGCCTGCTCAGTTACCCACCCAAGTATCGTGTATGTGTGTGTGTGTTCCAAATTGTTGATCTTGCAGCACTAAAAAATTAGGCACTCAAAATGAACACTTGCCTGGACAAAACTAGTCCAGTACACCCAGAATATATTTATTGTATCTAACAGCACACACAACATATATTCAAATTATACTGAAGTGCAAAAAGCATACTTTCCCACCCTCCATCCAGGAAACTCTTCCATTGCTTTAAGCCTTGGTTGTTTATCCCCCTTGGCATTTTCCAGGTTTTTTTTTCTACTGTTCCCATGGGGGAGACCTAAGCTTTCAGGCCATCAGATTCCAGGCCCCTTTCAGTGGTCCTTGTCGCTGTAATTCTGAAAATATTCGGCTCCCCTCTACCCTGAGAGGGCTCCCCCCCTCCAAAATCAGAAACCAAAGTCAGCATTTGTTCACACAGCCCAGAGGTCATCTGCCTATATATGGAATAGTGCTGTCACGTAGGTGACAGTTTCATATATGGAGCAGAATCAAGTGGTGAAGTCTTTCTGAACTGCCTTCTCGGGCTGGAGACAGGGTTTGACTATACTCTCCTATGAGACAAAGATGGAATTGGGAATTAGACCAGTAGCCTCCCAGAGATGATTTACTGAGTGCATGGGGAGGCAAACGATGCAGTCCAAGGGAACCTTCGCCGCTTGAACCTATGCCATGTAGACACTGACCCTAAGCTGGAATGACTTCTAAGCAAGACCACTGCCACCGCTCCCCTTGGGTGAAGAAAACACATTTTGTGCCCCACACCCATGGTGCCGCTGATCAAGCAAACTTGGAGCAAACCAGGCTGCTCATACCACACTCTTCCTTGTCTCTCTGCACTATAACCCCTGCTAGGTAGAACAGGAAGTTTCCCCCATCATTCTTGACCCTGCTACATGAATCAGGAAGGTGAATGTGGGCTCTCAGGATCAGGCCTTGCCTTGTGACTGCAGGCTAATATCTTGTCCAGAGATGGCATTGCTGCCTGTCACCCAGGTGTCGTATGCTGATGGCCCAGGATGCCCTGCATTCTTTCACCTCTTTCTGCCATACGTGTCACACTTTGGGGGTATTGACACGTCACCCCATTCCACCTTGCTGTTGTCGGCATCTCTGTTTCCTAAAGGACCCACACGCGTTTCAGAAGCGGGAAAACAAGTGGAAGGCAGGCCGCTTTGCAAAGAGAGGAAGCAAGGCTGGGCACTCTACTAGTCTCGCCTGTAAGGATGTGAGAGTAGAGATGGCCACTGTAGTGGCCCTATAGCTGCTGCTGAATTCCACCTTTCATCAGCCCCAGCCAGCAAGGCCGATAGTCAGGGATGATGGGAACTGGAGTCCAGCAGCAACTGGAAGGCCCCAAGCTGGCTGTTCTTGAGTTAGAGCAAAGAGGTGAGGAATATCTGCCCCACTCTGCCCAATCCTCATTTGTGTCAAAGTGATGCAGGCCCTGGCCTAACTTTTAGCAGCTGCCATCAAAGCGAAGGTCAATTTCCTACCAACCTCCAAGGTTCATTTGGCCATCTCGGCAAGGCAAAAGTGAGATTGGATAAAGAGGAATTAACACTCGGAAGCAGAATGTTTTGGCAAGCTGTGTACTTAGAGCTTAACCCACCCCAACCTCTCAATAATACTAAGATTTCAAATCCTGCATGTGAACAGAAAGCTTTTTTAAAAACATTCAAACACAGATTTTTAAAAAAGAATATAAATGGCATTTTGATAAACACAAACAGGTTAAGATTCATTTTTTAAAAAAAAATAATGAGAAAGCAGCTTTCAGGAAAAGCCCCTTGCTCATCCCCAAGCAAAACTCGATTGATAACAGAATACTGAAATCGACACACGTTTGCAATTAACTCATTTTTGTTTCAAAAAAGCAAAGGTTCTGTTACCTGTTACCAAACAACACTCAACATTCAAATTTGCACTGGGTAAGCCCACTTAGATGGGATCTTTCCAGTCTAATTTGTGCCATAATCTTGTGAAAGGAACATCTGATTAACAATACAGCAGCAAACTCTGGTAGGCTGAACTAATGCAGCTGTCATAAATCTTGGCTTTTTCCATGGACAAGAGAGAGCAAGTGTTGGGGTCAGTTGCACTTCCATCAAAGCAAAAAACTATTTGGATCTTGACTGGAAGAGCTTGGGGGAGGGGCGGGGTGGAGAGAAGAATTGGTCACAATCACCAGAACCTTCTCCTGCACAACCCCTGCTGAAAAGAAGTTTTGCAAACTGATGACAACATCGTTAAATGGAATTTGTGCAAGAGACATTCCTGGGGGGCCAGCTATTTATATCCATCTTTCCCCGTCCACTCATCTTAAAACTCACATTGGTGTGGGGTAAGGATCTATTCCTGGAGCCAAACAAATATCACAAACCAATCCCTTCCACTGGAATAAAGGAATCAGGATTGTAAGACTTCCCTGGAGAACAGGCCATTTTGAAAACAACTCAGCAAACCTACAAAATGCAATGGGGAATATGGGAAGCTGCGAGAGGGGATGGGTGGGGTTTTCAATGCAAAGCTTCAATGCAAAGCTTAAGAAACAAAATGGTCCTGCACAGGGAAGAGTTTGTGGGCGGGGCGGGGGGGGAGTGCTACACCAGAGAAAAGGCGTCAGCTGGATCTAGAGATCCACTCTCCAATGGCATTTAATGCAAAGAACAGCCTCTGGATGCTTACAGCTCCCCCTCTTGCGACTCCTGCAGGATACACAACACTGACTTGTGAGGGATCCCGCACTCTTGCAAGGACTTGGTGAGGTCTGCGAAGGTCCTCCGAGGCACTTCCACTGTTTCAATGCTGCAGCGTCTGTACACGACCGAGTTCTTTTGCTCCGCCACTGTAAGGACGGTTTTCAAGCTGTCCGTCGGCCTGAAGTGACGCTCAAATCTGTGACCTGAAGGAGACCTGATGGCGAGAAGCAACCTCGGCTCCTTCTCGCTGGGCTCTTCCAAATTCAGCACGGGATGGGCCCCTTCCCTTGTTTTACTTCGGGGCTTTGTCTCCAGAAGAGGAGGTGGATTCTGAGCGTATTCTCCACCGCCCCCTTTGTGTTTTGCCATGATATCGGTGGAGGCTTTCCCCACCAGGGGAAGAAGCTCTTTGAAGCCTTGCTCTTTCTCTTCTGGTTGGGGACTCCCTTGGAGCTGACCAGCCTGCTCAGACATCATCTCCACGGCACCCTTCCGCAGTTCTTTCCTGCTGATGGATGGGAGCACTCTGTACTTGTTTAAGGAGGAGGAAGTTCTCATAGGCACCTGCTGGAGGAGATCTGGGATTTCAGCAGGGAACACCTGAACAGGTTGGTACAGCTGCTGGGTCGACAAGGTCTTTCGGCCACTTGCAGCATCTTCGCAGGGAGCTAATGGCTGAGGAGACGATGGCACCTGGTAGGAGTAGGCTTCTATGCTGTGGGAGTAATTCAAGTTGGATCTCGTGCGCCCCTTTGCAGATTTTGGCCGGGTGACATGCATGCTGAGGGAGTGTGGCTGCCAGATGGGAGGCTTCGCAATGCCAAAGGAGGTCTTCCGTTCAGAGGATGAGATGTTCAGGTGCGAGGCAGCAGCCATTGCTTTTCAGGAGACCTGGGGAAACAAAAGTCAGAAAGGGCCAGGCACCACCCGGCTTGCAGCAACCTGCTTTCACTTCCTGCAACAGACCACTTTTCAGCCCAGCTGAATTAGGCTTTGGGCTGGGCTGACAGGAATTCATATGAGCCTGCCACTTTACACCGGAAGGACAGCACTAATCTATCAACTCCTCCAGTGGAGTGCAGTCAGTGGACTAGGGGGACTAGGCTAGCTCCCTAAATGTTCTCCTGGCACCTCCTTCCCAAAACCCGGGAGCCCTGAATGTGACATGAGGAAGGGTAAAGGGGGAAATTATGTCAGTTACACTTATTCAGGCATTAGTTTCAGGAGGCTGACTTGGAATAGAAGCAAAAGGGTTGTGGCTCTCCCGTCCACCCCTTGGGCTTCCCTGGCTGGGCACTGTGGGAACAGAATGCTAGAATATTTTAGTGAAGACTGCTTGAACATGACAGCCACTGTCATGTGGAAGGTCCAGGGGACAAGACTTTGCCCAGGCAGGCATTATGATGGCACCTAAGTGTAGCGCTGCCTTGCTGTGTGCTTGTTTCTGCAGCCCTATTATGCCTGCTCAACTTTGCAAGCAAATAGGTTACGAAAAAAGGAAACTGAAAGGCTTATGTTGTGCATAGATTGACATCAGGTTTATTCTGCAGCTGCCTCAGGGCCAGAACACCTCAGAATTAAAAGACATCAGCAAAAGCATCCCAGGATATTTCAGGAGCCAGTTAAAGCTTTGTCGTTGAAGGTCATGTTTGGGCAAACCAAAACACTCACATGCAGAAGATGCTCCATCGGCTCAAAAGGACTGACGGCTCAAAAGCTCCAGAGGATCAAACAGGCCAGTCAGTCTGAGAGGATCTCCGCCTGCACCTCCAGGGAGTTGCAGATTTTCAACCCTGAAACCAAGCAAGAGAAAAGAAGGGCGGAGATGACATTTCTCTCTGTGAGAAATCTGTTAATCGTCCTCTAGAGGCCAAGGCAAGTATTGGAGCTGCCCATTTCCAGCAGGGCCCCGTGCTTCTAGAAGCTCACGACAGGCAGAAACCCAATAGGTATAGCTTTTATTGAATTAAACCTCTTAAAAATAGAGGGTCTCTGCAATGAAAAACAGGTACAGATTCTTAATGCACACTGAAGGCAGCCGAAGGCAGATGTTGGGCTGGGGGGAGTGCCCTCTGTACCTAGCCCTCATTCCATCAGCTGTTGCTGTTGGTGGCTGAGAGCCCAAAGAATACTTTGACTCATCTACAAAGACAGAGTGGCTGCATGCAGTCCAGCTCAGCATTACACCCAGTGAGATCACAGGCCATAAACATGCCTAACGCCAGGCTGAAATTTGACATTCTGGCTTAAGCAAGGAAAAGAAAAGAGTGCCACCTCCCTCTTGATTGACATTATTCCTCATGACTGCATTAGAGCGAGAGACCCCAGCAGCTTAGCAGCCTCCTGGACTTCTTTTATGCAATTCCACTGCACATCACAAAGTCTCTGTGAATTGAAAGTGGAGACGCTATATGTACTTTTCCTTGTTTGTTTGTTCTGTAACACAAGAAAATCTTTAATAAAAACTAATTTTTTAAAAAGAGTTGGTACATTGAATTTGCTGCTAATCCTCTTCCCTCACCACCTCTTCCCCCTTTCCCATGGGTGTAGACAAGGGGGGCGGAGAGGCAGGGAAGGGCAACTCAAAATCAATAAAAATACAAAGCAAACTGAGGTTCTGCCCCCCCAACAAAAGGCCTGCCCCCCCAAAAAAATCCTGGCTATGTCCATGCCGTTTCCTATTATCGTATTTTTCGCCCTATAGGGCGCACCGGCCCATAGGAGGCACTTATTTGGGGGGGGGATAAAGAAAAAAAATTATTTTCCCCCCCCCCCTGAGCCCCAAAGAGCAAAGAAGCCATGACAGCGAGCGGGATGGATCCTGCTAGCTGTCCTGGCTTCGTTTTTAGCCTCGGGGCTTGCGGGGCTGGGGAAGCCCGAACTTCCCCCGTCCCCAGCCCCCAGAACAGGCTGTTGCCCGCAAGACTTGCGAGCCCAGCGGGAACTCCTGCCGGGCTCACAAGGCTTGCGGACATTTGCGCGAAGCACGGGGCACGCTCCGGAGTGCGCTCCGTGCTTCTGGCTGCAGGTTGCTGCCCGCAAGACTTGCGAGCCCGGCGGGCGCTCTCGCCGGGCTCCCAAGGCTTGCGGATAGCTTCCTGAAGCGTGGAGAGCGAGAGGGGTCGTGCGCACCGACGCCTCTCACTCTCCAGGCTTCAGCGAAAGCCTGCATTCGCCCCATAGGACGCACACACATTTCCCCTTCATTTTTGGAGGGGAAAAAGTGCGTCCTATAGGACGAAAAATACAGTATGTGATTTCTTCTGTTTTATGTTTCCTGAGCATTCTTTTTTTTTATAAATGATGTTTATTGAGAATTTTAAAATTACAAAAAAAACAAAGAGAAAAAGAAGGAAAAAACAAGAAAGAAACAAATAGCAATTAAACAATAGAAATCGATAAAAGTCAAAAGCAAAAAGCAAAAACAAAACACATAGCACATCAAAATCAGAAAGCAAAAATAAACCACAAAGATTTAAAAACAGATCCAATATTCCCAAATCCTTAATTGTCATTACCTTATTTCATCGACCTCCTCACACCTCCCTTTTTTGTATTCTAGTTGTTCCTGAGCATTCTTTAACATTTTAAACCACCTTGAATACTTGGGTAGGAAGGTGACATGTAGATATAGTTTAAAAACTGATGCATCAAATTTGCATATCTAAAACAAAGGTTGTGAAGAAAAAGAGACACTCGTGTGTTTAAATCAAGGAACCAGGTGTTGCTTAAATGATACATCGATGTGTCAGTCCCAAAAGGTACTGTCTTCCTCCTGTGTGAGATGGAAGGGGGCGTCTGCTACCTGTAATGCTTATGTTAAAAATAATTCAAGAGGAATGCTTCTTAAGACAATTTTAAAAGGTTTTACCTGACTAAAGGTTGCTGCTCTACAACCAAAGAATAAGTGTAGTGGAGGCACTTTTTTTTTTTAAAGCACAAAAGTTAATGGTTGTCGAACTACAGGGATGGACATCCCCAGCAGGGGAGACACATTTCTTCCCTTTATACATTAACAGCAGCACAATTTGTTTATTTACATCTATTTAGACAACTTTCCAAACAACACTCACAGCAATGCTAAACTAAATTAAAAATATACCATAACCGCATAAATATACAAGAGAACACTTTAAGCACCACATTCAGTGCAAGCTTACAAGGGAAAGCAGCAATACAAATACTCCCACCTTAAAAGTCAAGGCACTTTGAGATGTCAATTGAAAAGTAAGCTGAGAGTTGTTTTTCTTTTTTATTCCTTCTGGCAAAAAGCACTGAGAGAGATGAGGACCTCTCTAAATCAGGAATAGGAAAACCTTTGTCAGCCTGAGAAACACATTCCCTTCTAGGCAAACTTCTGGGGGCAGGATGCCAGCACTGGGCAGAGCCAGAGGAAAAGTAGGCAAATTGATGCATGTGAATTTTACCTTTGTCCAGGTTGCTAAATTCAACACAGACTCACACACCCCTCACACGATCATCCATCCAGGCCATCAAAAAACATTGCCAGACTTCAAGGACACATTCCAGTCAGACAAAAAAACTCATGGAGGCTGCAAAGTAGTGGCAGTGAGAGGTGTGGCAGGGGAGGGTGTGTGTGGCTTGGGGAGACTCCCAAGGGCCAAATAAAAAGGACTGAGTGGGCACATCTGGCCCTTGGGCCTGAGGTTCCCCACCTAAAGAGACTGTACCACAGAGTGATACAGTTTGCGCTCCTCCCCAATACATTACCAGAATTCTGGTATGTACCTCCTTAAAAGATGGCAATCAGAGTAGAGGATTTCCATTATGGATCTGAGTCTGGAGGGAAACTTGGGAATGAAAGTGTTTTGTGATGCATGCTGGGGATAGGGATTGCAGGGTTTTGAAAGGTAGGAATCAGCTCTTTGGAGTCAGAAGGAGACTGATCATGTAGGCTTCCTAGTCACTAGCAGAAACCTTCAAGGAAAAGTGCTCTCCCCAAATTTTGGGTACCCATCCTGAAAACAACAAATCTGAGATGAGGGCCATTCAAATTTACAGCCCTTCACTGTCTCTAAATATCAGCTGCCTTTGAAGAAGACATCTCCAGGGCTGGGGCCCTAGTGTCCTCTTAACAGAGCTTCAGCTAAGATCTTAAATAATGGCTCGGCCTTTTAATAAACACTAATTTTCATGAAATGCTACTTCAGGCTATTTTTAATGCTAATTTAATAGTTTTTATTTATGAATTTATTTTTACTGTGTATGACATTTAAAAGTTTTAAAATTGACTTTTCACAAACTGCCTTGAACTTCCAAAGTAGCAGACAGGATATACAAGTTGAATATGCGTACACATTTTGGGTTGTATCGTATCTACTCAGAGCACAACCACTGAAAATAATGGACTTGAATAACTTAGGTCAATCACTTTCAATGGATCTACTCTGATTAGAACTTAGATAGCTACAGCCCTTTGAAATTAAACCTATTTTGAAGCTGCCTTACCATCCAGAGCATCTCAAGTTCACCCCAAAAACTGTTAGTCCAAAGAGTAATTGCCAATCCTGCTGCTTTCACAAAACTGGACAAAGAAAACAAAGCTCTTTTTCACCTTATGCCTTCTTGTTTTCTCACATCCACAAAATGGGGAAAGATTCTGTAGCAAATGATGAACTCCGCTCTTGTGGCCAAGTCTGGGGCACTGCTGCTGCCTTGTTCCAACTGACAATGGCACAGCATGCACCCATATCTGCCAGCTATATATAATAGGGGAAAGGGCCCATTGACTTGGGTTACAATGAAAGGTGTAGGAACCACCAGCTGGCCACAGAGGCCAGGCTCACCAAGACAATCATCTACTGCTGTCTTGGAGTGGGGATGTAGAGTAAAAAGAGTAGGTGTGTTTGTGTATTAAGCTTGATATGCCAAGCAACAGATATAAACACCAAGGCAGCACAATTAATACAAAGCGTTTTATGTGCCATGTCATGGAGAAAACACATACAAACAGGAGTCCAAGCTACATCTAATCTCAGTCCAAAAGAAAAGAGCATACAGATGAGGATTAAAAGTGAGTTCTCCCATTCAGTTTTACACTCCTAGAATCCATCTGAATACCATCTCAGTTCAACCTTTATAAACAAATATTTGCTGTTTCAAAACGAATGTGAGGCAGACTTTTAAACCTATTCATTCGACAACATTTATATACCACTTGAATGTAAAAGAAACCCCAAACCTCTAAATGGTTACCGGTATGTTAAAATGCTTCGTAAAAGCTGTTAAAGCAAGTATGTGAAGGACTCAAAAGATTAATTTAAATCAACAGTAGCTAAAAGGAGAAAGAATACACATAACTTCTGCATGTCTGGATAGGCTTTCCTAAACAGAAATGTTTTAAGCACAATACAGGGAAGGCACCTGCCTGATTTCAATAGGCAGGCAGCTTCAAATGTGCTGCCAGTGAAAAGAATGATTTCTTACAGGTGCAGAACAGGTATTATGGGGCACTAGTAAGAGCCAGTTCCACAGACTGAAGCAGCCGAGTGAGCATATAGGGGGAAAGGCAATCCCTTCAAGTAAACTGGTCCCAAGTTGTTATGGGATTTATATACTAACAGTAACACACTGAATTCCGACCAGTAGCAAATGTGCAGCCAGTGCAGATCTCTGAGCAGAGGTGTTATATGCTGACAGGGTCTCATTCCTGTCAGCAACCGTGCGGCAACTTTCTGCACTAGCTGCAGTTTCCAGATAAAGTGCAAGTGAAACCCTACAGAGTACATTACAGTAATCCAATCTTGAAGTCACCAGTGCCTGAACTACTGTAGTCATGCTCTTCCAGTTCAGGAATGGCCATAGTTGTCGCTCATGCTAAAAGGAACTTCTGGCCACTGAGCAACTAATCCAGAGGTGGGGAACTTGTGTCCTTCCAAATGTTACTAGACTCCAGCTCCCATCAGGCCCAGCCAACATAGCCAATGGTGATGTATGAAAGGAACTGAAGTCCAGCAGCATCCGGAGAAAGTCACAGATTCCCTGTTAAGGTCCTCATCTGATGCCTTGCTCTATTTACCTTCCCTTTTTGCCTGCCATGGAGGAGACGGTGGCTACCAGTGGTGTGGCCTTTTTAGCATTGGCACCTCATCTATGGAATTCCCTATTCAACCAGCATCAAATAAAAAAACGTTTTTGGCTCTTCTAGGTAAAAATGTGTATTGGTGCTCTCAACAATCTGTGACAGGTTTGGGGTTTTTATACGTTTCCTGCTAGTGTGTGTGTGTGTGTGTGTGTGTATATATATGTATAGTTTAATTGAAATACTTCTATATAACCACCTTGAAAGTGCTGCTGGCCAGCAAGAACTGTCTGGGGATTAGGTGAATTGCCTGTTTTGGTCACTATCCTTGAAAAAAACAGGTTCACCTCTTGAAAGTTCTCCTAGACCCAACACTGCTCTTCATCACCCAAACGGCAGCTTGGCCAGGAATGCATTTTGCAGTGTTGGCTGGTATGCCAGCTGTGCTCTTCCTGGAGAAGGCTGATCCACTTGCCATTGACACAGCTAAACTGGATTAGTCCAACACTCTCTATGTGACTTCACTTTTGCACCATTTTACTATCTCCCGGTTTGTTTACATCTCCAATTAAAAATGCTGATTATAACTGCAAAGCACTACCCAGTTTGTGACCAGCATACTTGAAGGATCACTTCTTCCCACTCAGATCTTTGGCAGAGGCCCCAATCCATGCCCCAGCACCATCCAACTTGTAGTTGATGAGTAGGTAGAAGGGTGTCAGGGGCTTCTCTATTGGGTGGGTGCCTGAGCTTCAGAGTTCTCAGCCCCAGCTGGCCCCATCACTAATGACACTTTCATGCCCTCTGAAAAACATATCTGTGCCATTGGGCCCCTTTGGCCTAAATACTTAATCCCACTCTTTTTCATTCCCTGTCCTTCCTGATGCTGACACTTTTTCATTATGCTAATAATACCATTTTATTGTGTGCTGTTTTTGCATGGTTTTAAGTCGATAGTTGCTGGCCATGTTCCCTGTTATTGGAAAATAAAGTGCAGAATAAAAATATTTTGATAAAAATATACTCACGTTATATTTTAAATACACATACATAAAACCAGATAAACAAACATTAAAATATAAAACATCAAATAATTAAAATATACAGTAGAACAATCCCAAACAACACAGCCATGAGAACAGGAGGCTCACATACATATTGCACACCACAGTAAATAAACACAAATACAAACAACCTTCCAGAAAAGCTGCCACATTCTATGCAATGTAAGTAGCAACTAAACAGAGCATTATTTTTAGGCTTAATTTCAATGAAGCAATATATAAATGTTGCAAAATAAATAAAATTCAGCATCAAAACAAACATGGCACATAAAAACTACAAACACACACACATACGCACAAGGAAATCCTACACTATATCAGGAAAAAAAATGTGACCAATGAAAACTGAGCAAAAAAGAAAAGTGAAAATGTAAACATGATTTACTAAGTGAGCAACTTAATATATTTTTTAATCCACAGATGAGAACGGGCCAAATAAGTATAAGACCAAATCCATGCCATACTTTTAAAAGCACACCCAACTCACATTTAAAGCACGTGGCTTCCCTGAAAGAATCCTGGGAACTGTAGTTTGCTAGGGGGTGCTGGGAACTGTAGTTCTGTACTGGGGAAACTACCTTTCCCGATATTCTCCAAGGTAAAGTCATGCGCTTTTAAATGTAAGGCGTGCAACTGCCCCAATACCGTGTGTGCGTGAGTTTCTATGCACGTTCGCCACTCAGCCTTTGCCAACCCGGTAACCTCCCGGAAGAACTTTTGGACCACAACGCTCACCAGCGCAGATGGGAGTTGTAGTCCAAAACTTCCAAGAGGGCACCGAGTTGGCAAAGGCTGGTGTCATGTAACCAAGTAGCTCATACGCGCGCATGCTCGGTCTCTCCCACCACCTAGCGATAGGGAGGAGGCCTGTTGTGGGGCTCCTCGCGGAGGAGGCCGAGGCCCCCCGCTCCCGAGGCGAGAAAGGGCGGGTGGCGGGGCCCGACCCGGTCGCGTCAGGTAAGGCAAGGGGAGCCCCACGCCAGGCCTTCGCCCGCCCTCTCACCTCGCAGCGGCTCCATCCAGCAGCCCTTCTCGCTCCCTCGCCGCAGGTCCGGTCTTCCTCGGTGGTAAACAGCGCCGCGTTTCCACGGCAACGCCCGCCAGCAGCCTACTTCCGGCCTTGACCGGAACAAAGCGCAGCCTCTCCATACATACACGACTGAAGAACGTCCTAGAGAGGCCGAAGCGGGTATAAGCTAGGTGGGTGGGCGAGGGCCAGTTCTAGGACATGGTTTTCTATGGGCGCGGAGTCGCGTCGCTCTAGCCTTCGTCACCTCCGTGGTAAACAGAGGAAGAACTCTGGAATAAACCAAGAGACACGGAAAGAGGAGAGGGGCGATGGAGGCTGTGAGCAGGAGCTGAGGGTCAATTTAAAGGGAATTTTCTTTGGAGATATCAGCACCTGCAATATTAGCAGTGGCCTATCATATGGATGCTCACTCACTTGCGAAAGTAGTAAATGAAGAACGTGGACTACATTCCAGGGGTGTTGTGCTCCAGTTTTCTCTTGAAATAGTTATTTATACTTTTCAAGTTTATACATTTCACTAATTTTGCAATCATTTTGACATTTCGAAGCTTTTCTTCCTTCCCCCTTTTTCTTTTAATTTATTTTTAATATATTCTCCGTATCCAAATTAACTTAATTTGCTCATTTATTCATCTCCTTTTAAATATATACTCTTATGAAGCTGCAGGTTATTACAGTAATCCTGCCAATGTTCTTATCTGTTTACAATTTATCTGTAAATATTCAATAAACCATTTCCATTCTTTTATTTAAAAATTGTTATCCTGATTTCTTACTCTTCTGGTACGTTTCACCGTTTCTGCATATTCCAAAAGTTTTTGTATCCATTCTTCATTTGCTGGGACTTCTGCTTCTTTCCATTTTGGGGCAAGTAACATTTTTGCCGCTGTAGTAGTGTACATAAATAAGTTTCTATACAGTTTAGGTGCTTCTGTCCCCATAATTCCCCCCAAAAAACTCAACCCACCTGCCTTAGCCTGGAGCTTGGTGGGCATAATAGCACTGAGCAACACTGCAGGGCTGTTTCAATCTGTTTAGTCCAGATTTCCCCCTTGTTATGGAAAACCCAGCATGTAAAAATCTCTCATTAAACACCTGCAGCCGCTGGCAGTCTGTACATTTGTTTGCAGGTGTGTAAACAGCTTGTCACCTTTGTGGTGCTGTTTCATGGGCTGGTTTTATTTCGCCACACCCTGAGCTCAGCATCTGAGCACAACCTCTTTACAATGCATCTGGTGTGCTCCTTCTGCTCATTTGAGAAGCTGTGTACACACCATGTTAGCAAGATCTGTTGGGATGTTAATGCTGTGAGCCCCTCCAGCCTACGCTCTGGTTGTATATGCTCTGTGTAAATAAATCCATATATCTTAAAGACACCACAGTCTCCGCTGACCTTCATTCCAAGGAAACCAAACCTGGGTAAGTGCAAGAACCCTGGAAGCGCCTTGCCATTCAGAGACTGGAGTATGTGCAACAATATGGATTGTGGCTAATACCCTATATATTTCTGCTGGGGTTCTGTCACCAAAGAGTCCTTGCCCCAAACCTGGATCTTGGCATCCAGGCAATTCTCCTTTTTATACCTATAATTATTTTTTCCTGTACCAACAGATTCCAGCCTCAGGTTCGGAAGGGACCCAGACTGACTTCCCAAACCCATAACAATAACTATCCTGTATGTAGCCCATGGTTTCTTATGAAATAGTGCATTTTTGATGTACTTTCTCCCAAGGTAGATTTGATCCAAACTGATGAAGTGAATGACCTAGCTGTGTTTTAAACTGATAATGTTTCTGATGACCTGTTGGCCTGTTTCTGATCACCCAAACTTAGCACGTGTTCCTAATCCCAGCAACTGCTGCATGCTGAAAGCACATTCATGAGCCTTGTGAATCATTATGGAGATGGCAATACCTCTGTATTTAAAAATAACAATTTATCAGCCCATTACGCATCCCTAAGCCAGCTTTTTAGGAGTGAGCAGCAAGATACTGAATCATTCAGTGTGATTAAAATATACAAATCCAGATGAATGCTGAATAAACAGGTTTTATGGAATTGGTTTTGCTGAAGTTGTTGCCATGAGATTTATTTACGTAATCACTGAATGTTTTATCTTTGAAATAACTATTCTTTCTTTTCTGCAAATAAAATAACTGATTTACTGAATTGTTTTTGTTTTATGGGGATGAATCTTGCTGGAAGGTTGCTAAATTGACTTGTATTAGCTTAATTGTTTTGCCTTGTTTTATTACTTTGACGTGAGTTTGCTTATGATAAATCTGACACCGAATCGCTCGTTACCTGGCTGCACGGCTGGTAAGTTTCTATTGCCAGTGGCTGTGCGTGCCTTTTGTTTTTCTTGGTTGCTAAACTACCATGGGAGCATTAGGCTGCAGACTTATAAATCTGCTTTGATGGACAATAATAATGCCAAATGACTTAACAGGGATGCTCACAAGATTACAGTAAGAAAAAAGTGATGTGATGCCCTATGAAATTTAAATAAGAAAAGTGTTAGCGTGCATACTGCTCTACTTCTGCTCCTGAGAAAGTTTTAAAAATGGCAATGGCTGTTTGACTAGAACCCGAGACATGCAGGGGGGTGGGGGCAAATGCAGACCTCCAATCCCCTCTCTTTGGCTTTTGGCATCACTCCAGGCTACCCTCCTCTTTCCACAAGCCACACCTTGGGTACTCTAGCCTGCCTAGAATGTGCCCTTGAAATCTGATGAAGTCTTGTGTTTGTGTGCCTGGATGGAGAATAGAAAGAGGTGTGTGAGCTTGTGTAGAAATTAGCTTACTGCTGCAAAGGTAAAAATTTACATATATTGCCCGCCTACTTTTGCCACCGGCCTTGCCCACCACTGGCACCTGAACTTCAGAAGGAAATGGACCTCTGGGAATGAAAACAGGGTTAGAGGCAACCATGGACGAAAGTCAAGGCTCAAACCACTTTTGACTCTCTTAAAAACTACCAGTCCTCATCTTCTTTTCTAGTCTTACCACTAGAGGGCGAGAAGTGTCCACTGATGCAAGGCCACTTTCAGATTTTGCAGTTGCTATTCAATCATAGGCAAAATTGGGTCTCACAATTAAAGCGGATTTGGTGCTCTGGCACAACAACTGTGCTTCTCTGCCCCATAAAAGCAAAAAAACTCGACAGCCACAGATATTTTTTCTGGTGGGAAAATGGGAAATGCATTTTAAAGTGTGGAATAATGGAAACATCATTGGGTGGTGCGACCTCTGTGGACACAACTCAGAATGAATGGTCGATAATCAATCAGGTGGGAGATTCCAAGAGATTTAAAGAAATTATTTATGCATGCCACCACAGCAGCGAGAGTTTTGATTGCTCAAAATGGGGAAAGTGAGACGATACCAGCAAAAAAGATTGGCTGATTAAACTGATGGAATATGCTGAGATGGGTAAACTGACAAGGCAGATAGGGGACCAAGCAAAAGAAAAATTTAGTAAAGATTGGAATATATTCAAACAATACCTGAAAGACCACTGCTGAGAATTAAATTTTTTGACTGATTTAGATTAACTATTGTAACAAGAAATATCAAATAATAGCGAAAAAGTTGGTAACCAACAATTTAGATTTATTATGACATGCATTCAACCAAGAACTCCAAAAGACCCAAGTAGGAAGGGGAGGGAAGTCTGAGGTAATTAGAACATCAGTGAGTCGAATGATTAAGAATATATCTTTGTTTTATCTTTATTATGATTTAGAAACACATGTACATCAGCGAGAAACTGAAACTTTACATTGTGATTTCATGTTAGGAAGGCATTTTTGTTGTAAAAAACCAATAATTTTTTTTAAAAAAAAGAGGTCGATAATCAGTGACGTTGTATAACCGCTACATAAATTTTGTGCAAACAAATCAAGATGAATGCTCAATAAAGAGATCGTCTGTTGTTTTCTGTAGGTGGCTGTCATTTTTCCCACAGTAGGAGACCAAAAAAATAAAATAAAAATGAGTTGGGAAGTCCCTTCTGTGGACAATGGGTGTGCATTGCTTTGTTATTTATGGCCTCTATGGCTTGTGTACTCTCTTCAAATGTAAATCACAGCCCTGACTTCCATCACTGGCTAAGAACAACAAAAGGTGGTAGCAGGATAGTTTCTCACAAACAATGAGACACTTTGGCTCATATATCAGCTTCTGAAAGGGCACGGCCAATGTGAGCATGGACGATGAGCTCATGGGGACAAGGCCAAGTTTTTTCTGGTTTTCTCCCTTGCGATGATACTGTAGACACTTAAGCACTGCATTTGTGCAAATATTTAGCACCTTGCTAAAATGAAATGTGTCATACTTTGGTCCCTGCTGCTGTCGCTGTTGCTTCTCCGCCTCAAGATTGTTAAGCAGAGCTTTAAGTGCTGCAATAGAGGTTTTTAGTAACCACTTTAAATGCTGCAATAGAGGGTTTTTAAACTGAATGTGGAAGGTGTTTTTGTTTGTCGCTACGGTATAGATTTTTGTGTTTTATATTGTAAACCACCCTATGATCCTTGGATGAAGGGCGGCATATAAATTTAATTAAAGAATAAGAATAAAAATCTGTATCCCACCTTTCCTTATCAGAGCTCAAAGCACTGTTAGTTGTTCCTCTCTGGTATGTTTTATCCTCACAACAGCTCTGTGAGGTAAGCTGGACTAAGACACAATGACTGGCCTGAGATCACCTAATCATTAATGGCTGAGTGGGGATTTGAACTCGAGTCTTCACAGGCCTAGTCTAACAACTATGAGATAAACGTTGTGTCATCTGTTTGCGACATGTCCCTGTTTATTATTTTTCAGATGCGTTCGGTACAGATTATTAGTTTTCCCTCTTGATTGTTTTGGGGGGAAAGTCATATTGAGTGTTGTTTCTAAAATGTGAGGGTGGAACAAATATTTTTCAAAAATAAAGATAAATAAAGATCCTTTAAAAAAAACCACATTAACATAAATATTAAAATTGAAACATTCATGAAGAAAAGCTTCACAAAATAGAACATTTCTTATCTTACAAGGAGATAAGTTCTAGAGTAGTTTGTACCCTGGACATTACTATTAATTATGTATTTAGTCACTTGTTGACATATTTAATGAATGACTGAATGTTCTCTAGGGGTCCCTCCCACCTTAGTTATGCTCACTTGGTAGCAGTGATGGGCAGCCAGTTTAATTTCCCATCATGCCCCACTGATGTATCATTCCTCCAGGGCACTGTGGGAAATTTAAATAGCAGGCACCACTAGAGGCCTCAATGCTCCATTGGGGGCATGATGGGAAATTAAAATGGCCACTGGAAGACCCAGCTTCCCAGTAGTTGGGATGAGCTGAAACGTGTGCAGAGGAAAGCAATGAAGATGATCAAGCGTCTGGAAACTAAGCCTTTTGGGAAGGACTTAAAAGAGCTGGGTATGTTTAGCCTGGAAAAGAGGAGACTGAGAAGAGATATGATAGCCACCCATCTTCAGATATCTCAAGGGCTGTCACATGGAAGAGGGAGCATGCTTGTTTTCTCCTGCTCCGAAGGTTAGGACTCGAGGCAATGGCTTCAAGTTACAGTGGTACCTCGGGTTACAGACGCTTCAGGTTACAGACTCCGCTAACCCAGAAATAGTACCTCGGGTTAAGAACTTTGCTTCAGGATGACAACAGAAATTGTGTGGCGGCAGCATGGTGGCAGCGGGAGGCCCCATTAGCTAAAGTGGTACCTCAAGTTAAGAACAGTTTCAGGTTAAGAATGGACCTCCAGAATGAATTAAGTTCTTAACCCAAGGTACCACTGTACAAGAAATGAGAAGGAAGAATTCTCTGACAGAAAGAGCTGTTTGACAGTGGAACAGAGAGGTAGTGGCCTCTCCTTCATTGGAGGTTTTTCAGCAGAGGTTGGATGGCCACCTGTCCTGGATGCTTTAGCTGAGATTCCTGCATTGCAGGGGGTTGGATTAGATGACCCTTGGGTCCCTTCCAGCTCTAAGATGCTATGACACACTGGTGCCTGACAGCTATCCAAGGGCGACAGGTGATGGAGCTGGGATTGGATGGGGAAACCCTGCGTGAAGAACCCTGGCCTCTGGAAAGCCAGGCAAGTGCCTCTTTCCTGGTGTCCCACTGCCAACTTCTTGTCTGGAAAGGAGGAAGCTTGTATGGATCTGGGGGGAATACAGTCAAGCACTGTGCTCACACACCCCACCCCAAGGTGGGGGGGGGGGGTGGCAGAGCAACAGAGAGAGCAGTGTCCCTCGCAGAGCTCATTCGAGAACCAGGAAAGGCACCCAATGTCACAAGTTGCACATCAAGCCAGCAGCTGCTTAGGGATATGGATTAATTGGAGGGGGGAGACACACAGCCCTCATTGTCAGAGGGATGGCACCAAGAGAGTGGCACGGACACAGCCTCTCTTCAGATTCTCTCTCCAGTCAAGCCCCACAAGGATGGTGTTGCAGGAATTTATGTATAAGTTGGGGGGGTTGCCCCTCCAGCAGATATCATGCACATGCAGCCCACTACCAAAACCAGCACAATTGCTTTTGTGACTTTTGTGATTTGTCCCCACAAAACACTTCATCACAGTTTCTTCCTATCTATTCAAAGGGCCTTTGCTGCACGATACCAAATGCAAGAATTCACTGATAAATGTATCTATGCACTGGCTCACAGGGGAAGCATCAGAAATTCATATAGACATGTGAGCTCAGCTACTCAGCAGCCCCTCTGCCTGAGTGAAAATCCCTGGCATCCTGATACCTGAGTGCCAGACAGGTAGCCATTCCAGAAATAACAAACCCAGATGAAGACAAACGGGTGTGATTAACTTGGCTGGGAAACAGGGAAATGTAAATATCTTTTTTGTTACACTTGATGGGTGCTTGGTGGAGGGCAAGGGGAACCATGGGGCAGGGTCCAGGATGCTCAGATTACTGCCACCAGACCTCCCCTTTCATGATGTAACCATGATGTATTAGTGATGTAGTTTGGGGGGGGGTAACATGGGGATAAGGGACAAGGGTGGCACTGTTGGTTAAACCACAGAGCCTAGGACTTGCCAATCAGAAGGTCGGTGGTTCGAATCCCCGTGACATGGTGAGCTCCCGTTGCTCGGTCCCTGCTCCTGCCCACCTAGCAGTTCAAAAGCACGTCAAAGTGCAAGTAGATAAATAGGTACCGCTCCAGTGGGAAGCTAAACGGCGTTTCCGTGCGTTGCTCTGGTTCACCAGAAGCAGCTTAGTCATGCTGGCCACATGACCCGGAAGCTGTATGCCGGCTCCCTCGGCCAATAAAGCGAGATGAGCGCTGCAACCCCAGAGTCGGCCACGACTGGACCTAATCGTCAGGGGTCCCTTTACCTTTACCTAACATGGAGATTAGCAGCTAATAAAAGTTTGGGGGCTCTTTTGTTTGGGGCTTCCATCTTGTTCCACCTTATGGCAGGTGGGAGTCCTGTCACGACAGTCTTCAATAAAGACCAAGCCTACTGGCTGCTGTTTTGCTCTGGTATTCCTGGCTGGTGTCCTTGTTTTTTTGTCCAAGGGAGCCCTCAGATTTCTCCGCAACAATGGGGAACCTGCAGGAGTCAAATGCGGCCCTCTAAGGCTCTCTATCTGGACCCCGGGACCCTCCCCAAAATGTCCCCGCTTTGCTCCCCCTCAAGTGTTTTTCCCTGGCTGGAAAGTGTCCTTGAATTCAGATAATGCCATTTGGGTGGAGGACGAAGAGCGGGTGAAAAATACTGCACAAAACGCGCTACACAAAAGTCAACATTCACATTTGTTGCTCTGCTCACTTTTGCCTCAGGCTCCGCCCACCCCCAGCATCCGGCCCCCAGAAAGTTGCTTAGGAGTGGATGTGGCCCTTGGGCTGGAACACGTTTCCCCACCCTCCTGTGTAGCACGTGGGACAGGACCTGTTCAGCTTGACGGCACTAGCAGTCGTGGCAATTTGAGGGCGCAGGGAGCAATAACACAACGGCCTGAAGTCTGAGCTGAACATCTCAGGAGGCCTGGTGGTCTTTTCAGTTCAAGTTCTTATTCTTCTGACTTTCTGTACAGTTTCAGTTTAATGTTGAATCATAGGAACACAAGGTTGCCTTATAGTGAGGAGGATACTTGGTCAGTCTAGTTCAATACTGCGCACACTGACTGGAAGCAGCTCTTCACGGCTGCAGATGGAGGTCTTTTCCAGCCATACCTGGAGAAGCTGGTGGCCAAAGCATGGACCCTCTGCAGGGACCCCCATACCTTTGACTCCCACCCAACATAATTCCTGATCCAGCCAGCCAGGTGCAGTCTACTGTTGACTGGCAGCAAGCAGCAGCTCCCCAAGAGAGGGGCCTTTCCAAGTGCAACCTTAACTTGAAGACATAGGAATCCAGAACCTTCTCTGTGCAAAGAAGCACTTGATATACTATTGCCATTCCCAACCCACCCAGCAACTTAGTTCAGAGGTCTTACCCAGGGGTAGGGATATGTCAATTTCATCTCTGTTTCTCACTTTCCCAATATTCACTTCTCCACATTTCCAATCAGCTTGCAAGGAGTGCTCAAGGCGCCTGTGTTTCCTCCACAGAACAACCCTGAGGAAAAATAGAGGAATGGAACTGGGGGGGGGGGTCACTTCAGCCTTACAGTGGTACCTCGGGTTACATACGCTTCAGGTTACAGACTCCGCTAACCCAGAAATAGTACCTCAGGTTAAGAACTTTGCTTCAGGATGAGAACAGAAATTGCGCGGCAGCAGCAGTGGGAGGCCCCATTAGCTAAAGTGGTACCTCAGGTTAAGAACAGTTTCAGGTTAAGAACGGACCTCCGGAACGAATTAAGTACTTAACCTGAGGTACCACTGTATTTGCAATTGCCGTGAGACATTATCACCAAGAACAGAAATAACATGATTCTTGCTATTTCGGGAGCAAAACTCCAAACATCTACCAAGCTTTGGGCAGGGGAAAAACAAAGCTCAGTGGTTAGAGCACTCTTTTTCCATGCAGAGCACCCCAGGTTCAGTTCCCAGCATCTCCAGGTAAAGGCTTGGAGAGACCCCCACTTGGAACTTGGGAGAGCTGCTGCCAGTCAGTGTAGACAATACTGAATTACAGTGGCGTAGCGTGGGGGTGCAGGGGGGGCCGGCCGCACCGGGCGCAACATCGGGGGGGGCGCTCGCACTTGCAGCTCTCTACCCCCTGCTAAAATCCACGGGTTAGGGGGCGCAAATTACTTGCCTTGCCCCGGGTGCTGACAACCCACGCTACGCCACTGCTGAATTAGATGGAGCATTGTACCAAACTCAGCAGCTTGGTAGGGAGCTCATATGAGTTGCTTGAGCCAGGAGAGTAAGGAAAAACAGATAAAGAAGTCAAACGTTCATTGCCAGCTGGCCCCATCACCTCCCTGCCGGGAGTGAGTTGCCTTGCCATGTGGCCCGACTTAAAGAAAAGAAGTCATTTGCCATGACCACTCAAAGTTGATGTTGTACCCCATTTCCACCCCCCTCTCTTCAGTGGATCTTTCTGGAAAAGCAATTGCTACAGGAAGTAGCTAAAAATAGACAGTCGTTTGCCTCTAGGTGTAATATTCCTTTCTGACCTCATCACCTCCCCCTCCCCAGCCGAATACAATGCATATAGAAAAGAGAGCGGGGGAAACATACTTTTCTGCGCACAAAGATTGCAAAGCAGTTATTATCATGCTTTGCCTCCGTCACAGACCTATGCCTGTACACACACACACACACACACACACACACACGATTCTCCTGCACTTCCAATTTCTTCAATAATGACTCGCTAAGGTTCTCTCCTCTCCAGAGATCTCGCCACATAAAAAATGGAAGACGTCACCCCCAGGTTCTGCATTCCGCCCCCACACAAAGAAGACGCACAATCCCATCCCAGGCAAACATGTCTTGAGACAGCCGAAAGGGAGAAGGAGATTTTATTTATTTTTTAAAAAGGCAATCCAAATTCACCAGTAAAATATAAGTCTTAAGCAGCTGCCGTACCAGAATATTCCCTCGACCCATTAACCTCGATATTGCCCGCATAAGGGCTGAGGACCCTTGTACACTCCAGATGTTACTGAACTTCACCTTCCATCAGCAAACAGACAGCATGATCAACTTTCAGGAATGATGGAGTTGGGATTCAGCAACATCTGGAAGGTGTCAGATTGGGAAAGGCTGGCAGTCGCCTGACTCTACAGGGTGTCAAGCAGGAATCTTCCCTAGATATAACCAGATATTTATGCTGAGGATTGAAGTGGGGTCTTTGTGGGTGCAAGGGAACATCCCAAGCAGTGCATTAGCCCTGTAGAGCTCAGTGTGGCCCTACACCGATTGGGAGGAGGTCTCCAATGTTTCAGGCATGAGTCTTTAAGAACATACGCAGAGTGATTTAGCCTGATTCAGCTAGAAGGCCTATCTAGTTCAGCATTCTCTTCTCACAGTGATCAGGCCTATGAGCAGAACGTAAGAAGAAGCTGCTGGATCAGGCCAGTGGTCCATCTAGTCCGGCCTCCTGTCCTTGCAGAGACCAACCCGATGCCTGTGGGATACCTGCAAACAGGACCTGAGCCCTCTGTGGCTTCTAGCACCTGGTAATTCAAAAGCATTATTGCCTCCAACCATAGGCAGAGAGCATTGCCATCAGGGCTAGTAGCTTTATCTTCCAAAAATTTGTCCAATTCTCTTTGAAAGCCATCCAAACTGGCCGCCATCCCTCCCTCCTGTGGCAGTGAGTTCCATAGTTTAACCACTTGCTGCATAAAGAAGTACTTTTGTCTCTCCCAAATCCTTCTGCCTCATTGGATGGCCACCCGTTCTGGTGTGGTTGAGAAAGGGAGGGAACCTTTTCTCTGTCCGCGTTCTCTATACCACGCATAACTTTACACACGTCTATCATAGAATTGTAGAGTTGGAAAGGGACCCTGAGGATCATCTAGTCCAACCCTCTGCAATGCAGCTGTCCCATACAGGGATCGAACCTGCAACCTTGGCAATATCCGAGACCTTCCATGTGCAGAGCTTGCCCTCTGCAACTGAGCACTGAGCCCTCCCCAGCAGCAAAATGTGGGCAGAAATCATATATTCCATTTCCGAGTCTCAAAGGCAGTTTCTCCCCAGAACAGAACCAAACCTTTGCTGATTTTTAAACTCTCAGTTTGAAAATCCGACCAAGTCATGCTCATAGCAAATCCACTGAAACTAATAGTTTTTACTAGGGGTTCATCTGCATATACATTTAGAGCATCATGCCACTTTAAGGCTTGCCCCCAAAGAATCCTGGGAACTGTAGTTTAAGGGTGCTGAGTGTTGTTAGGAGATCCCATTCTCCTCCACAGAGCTACTATTTCAGAGCGGTTTAACAATTTTCAGGGAATTATGGGAATTATAGCTCTGGGAAGGGAATAGGGGTCTCCTAAATACTCTAGGCACCCTTAGCAAACTACAGTTCCCAGAATTATTCGGATGAAGCCATAGCAGTTTAAAGTGGTATCATAGTGCTTCAATGCCTGGTGTGAAACCTACCAGTTTCAATGGGTTGTAGCCAATGGCAGTCCTACTCAGAGTAGCCCCATTGATCTGGATGGACATGACTAACGTAGGTTGGTTAATTTCAGTGCATCTCCTCTGAGGAAGGCTTAGTTGGCTTCCAAACCCCGACAACTCGCTTCCAGAGGCCCTCCCAGTTTTTCCTCATCCACATTTCAGCTTTCCAAATCAACCGAAATGTGAGCAAGTCCCAATCAATGTATTAGGAATTGCCTGGTTCTCTTGTGCTTTATTGTTGCTACGGAGTTCTAAATACAGTGTTTTCAGTTCCTTCATGTCTTTCCTGCCTCCTTTGTATCATTGACAGACATGTGCGCACATAAAAACCTGCGGAATCCATATTCTTCTTTTTCTGGGTAGTCTCTGACATGCAGCAAACGAAAGAATCAACATATGCAGCAAAAAGGATCGGGGAATCCATTGGGACCAGGTGTGAAGCTGCTGCAAGGGAGGGGGGCAAGTGCTGAATTTAGCCCATGATGGGTCATCAGTTGCCTATGTTTACCTTTCCACTGTGTGAATTCAAAACAATGGGGACTAGAAACCCAGTTTGTTTTTTAAAGAGGGTTTCGGGAATTCAGCAGATTCTCTGCTTTGAGTAAAGGCTAGCCAGATATTCTCTCTCTCTCTCTCTCTCTCTCTCTCTCTCTCTCTCTCTCATACACACACACACACACACACACACACACACACACTACTTAATTTACCTCTTCAAAAATGTGGGGAACCTAATTGGGTTAGGCCCTTACTCAAAGGAGAGAAGCTGCATTTTCTGGACACACAAAATTGGATGTTTTGGCAGTAGAGTACCTTGGCCCCAGAAGGCTAGTGAAAAAGAAATGCAATGGAATTGGAAACCCAAGTTTAAACCTCACTTCCACTCCTACAGCTCCAATATTAGTTGGTTGGAGGGGAAATGATTGCTTCCAAGAGTGTTCCTCATTTGGCCTCCTAACCCAATACAGGTTCCCAAAAGCAGATGCCCAGTATGATGTCACACATACCCCTCACCAGGGGTGGGGAGGAAGGAAGCATGCAAAAACATGTACAAATCCAAAGGGTGAGCACTCTTTACATATAAATAAATATCTATGCTGAGGCGTACATACACAGAGAGATTTTGCTCCCCCTGTCCGGCTTGAGACATTTTCCCCCTTTGCCACTTCAAACAAGTATTAAAAGCCGCTGTAGCCTGCACAACCTCACTTCTACGTGTAAGAACCATCAAGCCACCCTGATCCCAGAGGTGGGGTGCTGGGTGTCCGGCAGTCGTTCAACAGGTTGGCACAGGTTGATCAGGGAGTGAGAAGCCTCAGAGGGTCCGCAGAAGAATAAAAATGGCTGGAACAGATGGGTCGGTTTGGTCAAAACCGGGCCATAAGACATCAGTTAGGTAGAACCAGCACGTCAACAATGTTCATCCCCTGGCAAGGACTAACCATTCTGCCATGTGCCGTCTATCAACCTTGAATGTACTGAGTGCAGCCCAACGAGGGAACAAAGCAGCAGAGGAAACAACATGTTCCCGACGCCCACTCCCTCAAATCCATCACCGGGGAGGAGAGTCTGCAAAATAAACCCATGCCTGCAGGATCCTTAACAAGGCAGGCAAGACGACTCTTTGGGGGGCTCCCAAGATGGCAAGTCCTCCCGGTGGTGGGGCCCCCTCAAAGTGCAGACCCTCAGCTCGTGGGCTAAAGTCAGCACCTCAGGCCTCTCCCTGCTTTTGACCGTCTTGCGGCCCCGAGTGGTGTCAGCGTTGTGGCAGAGGGCCGTGCCGTCAGTCGTGCCGATGGCCAAGGTGGTGCAAATGGACAGTTGGACGCCTATAGCGGCGGTGGCAGCCCCAGCGGCAGCGCTGGCGCACCTGCTCAGGTTAGCGCCGGTCCTGCCGTTTGCAGAGCTGGCTGCGCAGCCGCAAGGGGCGCCCGAGGCCCCTTCCTCCCTGTCCGCTTTCTCCTCTTCCTCCTCCTCCTCCTCCTGGATGGCGCTCAGCCTAGGGGCGCTGCGTCCCCTGTCCGCTGGAGGCCTGTAGGGGCACTTGCAGTTGAGGAGTTTGCGTAGGGGCACCAGGGGGATGATGGCTTCGCCCAGGAGTTGCTGCTGGATGTGGCGCGAATCGTTTTGCCTCTTGAGCCGCTTGAACTCGTTGAAGGCCGAGTGGGACGTCTGGTAGAGCAAAAGTGCCATGGAGTGGGCCTTCTCAGCCTTGGAGAGCAGGACAGCGTGGCACCGCAAGACCACTGCTTTGTTCTTGACCTGGTGCCGGTAGACCCAGGCGAAGACCTTGGGGTGCCGCCCATCGGCCACGCAGTAGGTGATGCGGTGCAGCAGGTAGGCATGGCTCGGCCGCCGGAGCCCTTTCTCGCAGGGGCTCATGCGGATGCCGTGGGGGCCGAGGGTCAACTTCATCTTGGTGCTGCGGCTCCCGAATTCGCTCTTGGCCCAGATCTTCTCTACCGCCTCCTCGGTGCAGCCCTCGCCTTTCGCCTGCAGGGTGACGGCGTTGCCCAGGTACCAGGCGGTGTAGGTGGGGTCTTCCTTGTTCAGCTCCACTTTCTGGCGCTTGCTGCGGAAGACGCTGCCCAGCCGCTCCAGGGGGCACTCGGGCCACAGGTCCGGGCAGGAGCGAACAAAGTTGGACAGCAAAGAGGCGTAGCTCAAGCCGGGACCCAAACTCTTGCTCTTGCCTTTGCCCTCATTCTCCTCCACCAGGACAAACTTGCTCCGGCGCCAGGGCAGCATGGCAGCCATGGTGGGCAGCGGAGAGGTCCCAACCCAGGCACGCTACCCTTTACCTAGGGGCAAGGCTTCTCTTGCAGCTGCGGGGCAGGGCGGGTACACATCCCAGGAAGAATCAGCCTAGGTGGATGCTGGCTAATGCAAGAACCAGCGTGGCACAGTGGTTGGGACGTTGGGCTAGCACCTGCGAGACCAGGGTTCGAATCCCTGCTCAGCCATGGAGCTCGCTGGGTGACCTTGGCAGCAAAGCCTAATCTACCTCACAGGGTTGTTGTGGGGATTTACTGAGGAGGAAGGAGGCGTCTTGAGGTCCTTGAAGGGGATGGTGGCGTGTAAATGCCATATATCAGTATAGCAATACTATGCCTGATCTCGGCCAGCCTCCCTGGTGCCCTGCTCCTAGCTAGAAAGGGGGCGCTTTGTTTTCATCTTTGGGGGCTAGAGTTCAATTCTCCCCTCTTAGGAGCAAAGCCCTTGCCGGATCCTATCCTCCCGGTGCTCCTCGGCATGTGTGAATGCCAAAGACGTGTCCACCCCCACTCCGTCTTGACCTACTACTCCTACCCACTGTAGGGGGGCAGGGGCAGTTCTCTCTCTATGTTCGGGAGCCCCGATTTCTGCACTATTTAAAGAGGCAGCTGGTATGTTATTGAAGCGGGGCGGGGGGGGGGGCGCGGAGATGAAATATTCCTTTTCTGTCTCCCTGCCTGCTGGTCTCCCTTTCCCAGCCCGGAGATCCCTCCAGGACTCACCCACCGGGCGCCGGACTGGGGTTTCCCCACCCCGCGAAGGGAGCCCTGGCCCCAATTCCCCGTCCCCGTCTTGCCTCGGAGCCAGCTCCCGATTCGGATCAGCCTTTCTGCCTGCGAGAAGCCGCGATCGAAGGAGGGGAAGCAGAGGCGGCGGCGGCGGAGTCCCTGCGCGCTGCTCCGCCTCCCTCTCCGGTCGCGCGCAAAGCGCTGCGCGCGCGATCCGAGCGCTCTCCCGGGCCGCCCGCCTTCCCGTCTCCCTACACGTGTAGGCGCGCGCACGTGTGAAAGGAGTGCGTCTCACAGCAGAAGCGCGTGGCGTCGGTCCTCCTCCGGGGGCGGGGAGGTAACTGAGAGGAAGATAAACACCTACTCACCACCCGGCATGTCAAATTCACACTCAGGGGCTGTTGGCCTCAATAGCTCCGAGACTCCGCCTCTTCCCTTACGCCTCTTCCCTTACTTGGTAGGGGGCCAAAAGGGGTCATCTAGTCCAACCCCCTGCATGGCAGGATCTGAAGGAAAAAGTAAAAGTCAGAACGCGCTGGGGACACAAGGATGCTTTGTGTTGTGTGGAGAATGGTCCATCGCTCCCATCTTCTGCCTTGGTATGGCATCCACGCCACGAGTGTCAGGCCTGTTGCCCTCCGATGCGGTTGGACTTTCACTTCTCATTAGCCCCAGCAGCCAGCACGCCCAGTGGTCAGGGATGATGGGAGAGGATGTTGCTGATAGGAACTCCAGTCCCACTACATCTGGAAGGCACCAGAGGTGGGGAATATCTCTGGGTCTCCAGGTGTTGCTGGAGGTGTTCCAGCTCCAGGTGTTCCAGCTCCCATCATCCTTCAGACCTGCTCCCTTGGTTCCTCATCCCCTCCCCCGCCCAGTTGACTCTGGTCTTTGGGGAGGCGTGACTAGGTCTTTTTTGTTTCACCACACCCCCTTGCCGATTTGAGCAGATTTGGAAAGGCAAAGGTGGCCCACAGTAGCTCCCACCAAGACCTGGCATAGCCTCAAAGGGGTTCACCTCCATTGGTTCTGGGAGCCACTGTTCTGGTAATAACTGGAAGGAGTCAAATCCTGAGCTTTGACTCATTCAGGGTTGCAACGGACAGCCTCCCCCTCCCTGCAGAGGCTGATTCAAAGGATGCTGAAATTGGAACACTGACTCGTGCAGAGACCACCAGAGATTCTGCACCTCCACTTCAAGAAGTCAGACTCACAGTACTTCTGACAATCTAGGCTGCTGTTGTGTACAGGGATTCCCACTGTACTCAACAGACCTGAGTAGGAATGCATAAACTGGTGCAGCAAATGAATTTGCTTTTCACACCATGCTGACAGTCATGCAGATGAGTGGGGGGAGGGAAAGACTCCACAGCGGGGAGGGCACATCACCTGTTGGACTTCTGCCTGCCTATTACCCCAAACTGCCCAGGATCTATGGAGAATAGGGCTCTGGGGGAAGCAATCACTGTATGCATTAAAATAATAATGGATTCATCCATTGGATGTGCTGTTTCAAAGCAATTATGTCAAAATTTGCATTGCTATTAATAAGATGCAAAGCTCTTCACTCATCCAGGACTAAATTAGCTTGTTCTGAGCTGATGTATTTTCACCATGCGTCATGCTATTTTAAATCATGTTCAGGTTTGTAGCTATCTAACTGCAAAGGGGGCGGCTATCTTGATTCCATCTTTTGAACACTAGGTTCCTGGTTCTCACAGGTGCTGAAATGTTATTCCTCTGAACTACTAGGCTGGTGTTCTTAAAAACAACAACACAAAACTCCGCCATTTGGCAATAAGCGCATATTTCTCTCCCCTCCTCCTCTTTCAGATATCATATGTGCATGCAGTGATCTGGACAAATAATGGACTTGATATAAGACAGATTCCTGGGTCCCTGTATTAGGAAAATCTGCTTGCCCTTCTGCAAGAGAGGTTCAGTGGTGGAGCCCTGACTTTCCATGAAGACACCTCGCTTGACAGCAGTACATTTGAAACGAATCTAGAGGTCTTAGCAGCCCACAAGCTGAACATGAGCCACCAGTGTGATGCAGCAGCAAAGGAAACTAGTGCAATTCTAGGCAGCATCAACAGGTCTAAAGTCCAGATCAAGGGAAGTCATGATTCTGCTCTATGTTGCCTTAGTCAGATGCCACCAGGAATAATTTCTGGTTCTGGACACTACAGTTGAAGAAGGATACTGACAAGCTGGAACATGTACAGAGGAGCTTTATGTGGAATGGTTGAGAGAGTTGGGCATGTTTCGCCTAGAGAAGAGGAGACTGAGAGATGATAAGATAGTAAAGGTAAAGGGACCCCCGACCATTAGGTCCAGTCGTGACCGACTCTGGGGTTGTGGCGCTCATCTCGCTTTATTGGCCGAGGGAGCCGGCGTATAGCTTCTGGGTCATGTGGCCAGCATGACTAAGCCTCTTCTGGCGAGCCAGAGCAGCGCACGGAAACGCCGTTTACCTTCCCGCCGGAGTGGCACCTATTTATCTACTTGCACTTTGATGTGCTTTCGAACTGCTAGGTTGGCAGGAGCAGGGACTGAGCAACGGGAGCTCACCCTGTCACGGGGATTCGAATTGCCAACCTTCTGATGGGCAAGTCCTAGGCTCTGTGGTTTAACCCACAGCGCCACCCGCGTCCTTTAAGATAGTAAGGGTAAAGGGACCCCGACCATTAGGTCCAGTGGTGACTGACTCTGGGGTTGCAGCGCTCATCTCGCTGTATTGGCCGAGGGAGCCGGCGTACAGCTTCCGGGTCATGTGGCCAGCATGACTAAGCCGTTTCTTCAAATATCTGAAGGCCTGCCACATGGAAGATGGAGCAAACTTGTTTTATGCTGCTGCTCCAGAGGGTGGGACCTGATCTAATGGATTCAAATGACGAGAAAGGAGATTCCGACTAAACTTTCAGAAGAACTTCCAGCAGTAAGAGCTGTTCAACAGTGGAAGAACAGACTACCTTGCAAGGTGGTGGACTCTCCTTCATTGGAGGTTTTTGAACAGAGCTTGGGTGGCCATCTGTCATGGATTCTTTAGTTTAGATTCCTGCATTGCAGGGGGTTGGACTAGATGACCCTTTGGGGTCCCTTCCAACTCTACAATTCTAAGATCCTATTATGAACTCCAAGTTGGGCTGGGAACATCCCCCTAGAGAGCCACAGCCAGTCATTCTGACCTAGATGGATCAATGCTTTTGACAACCTGCTGGAATACATTCTGGAAAGCCACTGAAGATTGTGAAACACGGAAAGACAGGAGGGTCACCCTCAGAGCTGTGTGCAAATCACCTCACCCTATTCGTTGGCTAAGAGCCAGCTGGGATTTGTCCAGGGAGAGGAGAAATTCTTCAGCAGTCTCTCATGAGTGGGACTCACCTTCTTCCTTCCACCCCCACCATGGAGTGCCAATCTAGGTTGGGGTGTTTTCTGCGGTCCCTGCGAAGTCGCAACAACAGCTGCAGCGACGGTGTTTGACAGCACAAGCCCCCATTTGGCATCCTCCACAAAGCTCCAGGCCAGAGATGGGGAGATTTCTTTGCCCGAGGGCCACAACCCTGTCTTCCAGGGGCCACATGCCAGTGGTGTGCAAGGGGAGAAGCAAAAGTGGACAGAAAAGCTGATGTTTAGCTTTTGCACAGCAGGCTAAGTTTTTATGGATGCCTCTCTCCACCCTCTTTCCAGGCAAGCAAGAGTCACCCATAATCTGGGCTCAAGGGAACATCCCAGCTAGGCAAAAGCACCCAAGGAGGAGGCAGTGTAGGTGTGATGTACAGTTCTTGGGCATCGTTCAGGGATGGGTGGGAGAGCATGGATGCAACAGCAACAAAGGTGATGGAGGCTATCTGGAGGGGATTCTGCAAAATTGCCCTTTTTTCTAGAGGAAGGACTAGGAAATATAAAATCTCCTTTTCTTTAAACATAAGTTTCCTGGGGGATTTTGGCTCAGCTCTCACCAAAATAACATTTTCCCCCCGCAGTGAGAGCAACATAGGAACACGGGAGCTGCCTTATCCTAAGCCAAGTGCTTGGTCCATCTAGTACTGGCTCCACGGACTGGCAGGGGCTCTCTGGGGTATCAGGCAGGGGTCTCATCCAGATGCCTGGGATTAAATCTGGGACCTTCTCCATGTGCTCTAGCACCGAGCGATGGTCGTTCCTGCAGAAACCGGTGATCAGAGAACAGTTTCCCCGTCTCTTTAAATAGGGCTAAGTAACAAATCAAATCATGCCATTTCCTTTGCTATAAAAAGGGTGATAAAGCATCTTTCTTCTCAGGGATGCTGTGAAAATGAATTAATGAACATTTCCAAAGAGCTTTAGAAGAGACAGAGGCAGAAACTGAAAGAGGCTCGCCCTCCCTTTTTTTTTCTTTTTTTCTTTTTTCCTTTTTTTGTCTCCCCCAAGAGATGCTGATAATCTGAGCTGAATTTCCTCCAGGCCCAGGAACAAGTGTTAATGTAGCGAGTGATGGACATAAAATGTAACCTGGCTAAGCATCGGGAGGTTGCATTTGAAGTCCTCGTTGTCGTTCTGAATGTCAAAAGAAGTTGAGGTCACCACTCAGAATGAGGAACACGGGATTCTGGGCTGCAGAGGCAGCGTGGAAACACATCCGAAGCCTTTGCAAAGATTCCAGAAAGCCGGAATTCTCTCACAGTGCCTGTGAATTTAAGGCTCACCAAAGGACAAACAGCGCAAGCTTGAGAGTTCCACAGAACTCTTCCTCAGTGTATAAAAAAGGAATCATTCTGTGTGGACTTGGCTTGGTACCGGTGATGGTATTCTTTTATGTAAATGAGTCAATACGGCTGTCTGGTTTGGTAAATTAAAAAAACCCCAGCTAAATAAAACATGTTTGGTTTGGTTTTCTAAAATAGTAATCTCACCCAATCTTCACAGCCCTAAAGACTCTTGCACCCAGTTCAGACTCAGTCCTGCTTGTCTCCCTGTTTCTATGGCTAGGCATTTTCCTGGGGAGTAGGGGTAGCATAGAACACATATTAGAATATGTGTGTTGGACTAACAGTCAGCTTGGATGGTGAATGGAGTACTGAATCTCTGCTGGAGGAGCCCACTCTGCCCTTGTTTCACCCTGAGACCCTGAGTTTCGGAAAAATAAGAAAGTTAAGTTTACTAAAGTTAATTTATACTTGATAGGAAAAATCCTAGTTCTATCTCA